ATTGAGTACAGCTGTTGTATCCTGGTTTTTAGTGCAGTAAGTTCTAACATTTTTATATTTTGGAAATATAACTCCTGTAGAAATTATCTCTCTTCTTTCAAAATTATTACTTTACCCCTATTATTGTGTCTGGCTGCACAATCTTACTTAATACAACGGCTGAACTGACTAATATTTCCTTTTAAGGGGAAAAAAACATTATGACCATGAGATTTTGTCGGACAACTTCTTATACTAACCCATGATCATAGTTTATATTTTTATTTGATTTCTTTTAAGTTGATAACAAGATCGGCCAACCCTCAAGATTAAAGTGTTGATTTTGGAACAAATTTAAGTTGAGTACTAATTAATAGCAAAAATGATGAATCTATGTAATAGTCGAAAGCATTTCTCTTCTGCTGCTAATAAATTTAACGTTGAATGTGTTGAGGTAGTTGAACCACGTTCATTACACCAAAGTCAATCCCTTTTTGGCACAGAGTCGAAAGCAGCATGTTTAAACTTGGACCATCAATGAATGTATGTTAATGTTTCACATTTACAAACCTCAGCGACATATTGTTTTTCTGTGTTTTAATCTTATACTTATGTGAATGACATCGATCTTTTACATTTAAAAGGTTACGTATCTCATTATTTACTTCTATATCCTGCGTTACATTAGTGTCGAAGTTCCATTTCATACCTAACGCTTGAGCTCTTCACAGATTCATGGCCCAAATTGATGAAATATTGTTGGTTGTTTGCAACATCAAAGTATTTTATTTGAATTATCTCACATGAATCAATCAAATATAGTTCCTCTAAAATTAATGTTGATTATGTTCCTGTGATTAATTCAACTTCGTTTATGTACAAAGCCAGTCCATCACGGCCAGAATGCTTGACAATGTTCATGTTTCACATTTACAAAACTTCATGACGACAATACGACATATTGTTTCTGTGTGTTTTTAATCTCATACGTGACCTACCACTTTCCCTGTTCAACTTAAAAGGGTTAACCGTTGAGTGCTTTCATTTTTTTACTATGATCCAGTACAATTAATATAGAGATTTATTTTTATTGATTGAATACTTTGATAAGTAAAAAAAAGACTTGGTAAAATTCGGTGAAAATTTTCTTGTTAGGAATTTATCAATTTGCTTTATTGTGGTTGTATACATTGCTCCTTAGATTTATATCATGTCTGCAATTCAATTAGAGAATTTACCACTGTTGTCGACGATAATGAACATGATGCTTTTATGAAAGGTTTTAGGTGATGGAATGAAAAAATCTCTCCAGATAAAGCACGTGTGAGTTCATTTTACAATGTTTTGTTAGTGTACTCTATGTTTAACTACTTCAAATCTTAATTTTAAATTTTATATACTCAATATTCGAGATTATTGTCTTGAAAGATTAAAACCCTTAAGGATCCGTCTCGTGTATCATCATGGGAGTACAAGTAATACTGCTCACTTTGAGTTCTCGTTAAAGAAGTCATGCATGGTTAATAGCGAAATTGATCAGTAAATCCGAACTTTGAGTAAATTACAATCGTTGCATTTTTAATACTCATTTTTGTTGGTTTTTTTTTTTAAAAGAAAAAACTCAACCAATCCAAATTGAGACCCCCAAAAAAAAAAAAACAATATGATTGTGCATGTAAGCAATAAAATACTATTATTTTCATCCCAAAAACAAATGTTTGATTTTAATTTTTTTCCGATTGTATTAAAGTAAATATACAAATCAAATAATTATTTTGAAACATAAGTAGAAATATATATATACCACCAAAACAAGAAAAAGTAGAGCAGTAAAAAGTTAAATCCTTTACTAGAGTAGAAAACAAACTATTGCTCCTACATCCAAAAGATTGGTGAATAATGTAATATGATGAGGAAAACTATGATGTGTATTTAGTTCATTTGATATAAATATATTTTTTTATACATACATAATTTATATATAAGTTACCATTAGTAATAGTTAATTTTATAAATTTCATATCTATACGATAAACTGCCTCTGCCTGGGTCTTTTGGATGGAGAGAGACGTTTGATTTGAAGCTAAGAAGAAAGCGCGTGTGAGAGAGAGAGAGAGAGGCAGGTGGATTCGATTCTGACCATTTAATTTGCTTTTTTGTTTGTTTGAATGTCAAAATTCTTGAAATTATCAAAATAATAAATTAGAAAAAAAAAACCACCCGTCATTTTCTTTAAATTATTAGTCGTCAAGAAATTGACAGAAGGATTCAATAATAATAATAATAATAATAATGGCATAATCAAGTTAGCTGTTTTTCTAGGATTGCATATTTTGCATAGTTAAAAAGGGAATGAACTTATAAAAAATACAAACAGAATCTCTCGTTAAGTTAAACAAATTAGATTTGTGTGTCTGCATTCCCATTCCCCCCAGTTTTTTTAAACTCAAGCTTTTGTCATTTTTGTAGCGAGCTCAAGTTTCGATGTCAAACTTGACAAACAATCGTGCCCATTATTTATTTTATTTTTGTTTTTAAGTTTTCTTTTGTAAGGATCCCTTTTTGAGCAAATGATTCCTCTTTGTTTGTCCCATAACTCATTTTTCATTTTCACTCATTTTATCTCTTAAACACAAAATCTAATAAAAAAAAAAATCATCCAAACAACTTTTTAATTTACCTTTAAAATATTGTGTTTGGTCATTACACTATTGTAAAATCTTCGTTTTAGTCACTGGGCTATTGTAAAGTCTTCATTGCGTTTGGTTACTAAACTATTATAAAGTGTTGCGTTTGGTCACTGAACTATTGTAAAGTCTTGTGTTTGGTCGTTATACTGTTATAAAATCTTCATTTTGGTTGCTGAACTATTTTAATTTCATAAATGGTCACTATATTATAATACTTTCTAAATAAAAAACTAAACTATCTTTCAAATCTCCTCTCAAATCCAAATCAAAAACTAAAACAAAACGTTGTTCAAAAAAGCACAAAATAACTCGAGTTTAGAAAGAGGAAAAAAAAACGATACTTTTGAATAAAGAGAGTAGTAACAGTTCCGGTAAAATTTGGAGTTAACCATATTTCAATAGATGGGTATGTATCAAAGCACAATATATTAATTTATGATTTTGATTTGAAAAGCATACTACAATTAAATTAGATATCATCACACAATATATACAGGGATATTTTTCCAAAATTTCGCATCTGATAATTATTTTGAGACTAAAGAAAAAAAAAATACCAGATACGTATAGTAGTATACTGCTCACTACAATAGTCAATTCAATTTCATGTTTTGGTCTTGAACGCTACATTCGTCGACAAATTAATATTAATAATTTTTTTTCTTAAAATTAATTATGCACACCCAATAATTTTTAGTCGGTCAACAACAGCTTGTCGTTGACATTATTAATCTCATTATCTAATTATCATGGAAGATTTCATTTTAATTAGTATTATGCTTACATATTTATGGCCCCAAAAAAAAAAAAAAAAAACCCACCAAAATGTAACAGGTGGCATGAAATCGTTTGTTGTCTATATTGAGACCAAATCAAACCGCCTAATAATTCTTTTTTTTTTTTTGGCAAATCTAATTTATTTATGAATTGTATTTACAAGCTGCAGCTTAGTGGTGTGCTACTACTACGTCTGCGATTGATGGATTTGTTTTTATTTTTCCACTAAACAAAATTATCAAAAAAAATAAACAAATTGTTGAGCGGCTATTCAAACAACTGTTTCATATTCATCAAATTTTTTGTATCCTTTGCTACCATCACCCTCCTATTTGTAGCAAACTCAATTTCATTTTTTGTGCATTTGTCATCTACTCATCTTCTTCAATCAAATGGAACTATAAGAACAATGGCAAGCTTCTGTTCTTATTCGCACGATATTTTGTTCAAACTTCAGGAATTTTGAAAACGTAACATATTTGAATTTAGAATCGAACTTTCAACCTCACGAGACGAGAGTGTTGCCTGTTATTATTGCAATACAAAACCAAATGCGAAATACATACATACATACATACAGTTAGGAGCAAATATGAGTACAAAGAACATTGAACATCATGGTTAAAGTGAGAAGATAGGGAGATATAGCCCTAATTTGGGGCAAGGGAGGTGACACAGACACATGCTCAAAGGGATCTCAGCTAACAGACACAGGAAGATCCCATAAAAAGAGACAAGGTCAAAAAAGAGGATCATTCATCCCTACCTATATATATATATATATATACACACACAGTCACACAGTTACCCCCTCCATGTGGACCCCAAGACCCCCTCTGCTTTGTGGACTTTGACCCCTCTGCCCTCATTTGTACAAAAGCCACACGAAACCCGAATAGAGAAAAAGAAGAAGAAGTAGAATGACAACATTGCCCCTCTCTAATCCCCCCCTGGATAGTCGAAGGATTTTGGATTGAAGTAGTAATAATTAAAATAGGTTGCACAAATTGAATGGCGGTAACATTATACCAAATGCCACGCTTGATATAAATTTGAGTTTAAAAACATTCCATAATTGACCAAAATTCATCTTATATTAGTCAAGTCAGTTGCAATTGATATTTTTATTTTATTAATTTAACAATTCAACCCTTCTTAAACATCATCCTCTTATTCTTCTAGAAAAATGGAGCTAAAAAAATAATTTAAGGTTGGGGACCAGATTACATTTGAAAAAAAGAAAGAAATAGGGTCAATGGTCACTTCTGCCAATCTGATCTGAATTCACAGATTGCTTTAGCATGCACCCAACTCACTTTAATGACTATTGACTGCTCAGTTAATCCCTTTAATAAAGAAGGGTTAATTTGGACCAGTTTTTTTCTCCCTCCTCTTATTAGTTCCCATTTCTTTTCCAAAAAGTAAAGAAAAATGGAAATCCCTCGTACACCATTCTTATTCTTATTTCCTCTTTAAGACAGGTTTAAAGAATACTCCCTCCGTCCCAAAAAAAAAATAATTCACATTTGAGTTTGTACTACAAACAGTAAAAAACTCAAAATTCAAAATAGTCGACGGATATAGTAGTAGTTTGGATGCGATAACCTGAGTTACAAAGATAATCTATCACAACTTTGGTTACAATTCTACTGCAATCAAATACACAAGTAACATGATGCTAACTTGACAACTCAAATTAACACCGGTAGATAAAACAAAGTTAAAGAATGGAGAGGAACATAACACGCATTCAAGCAAGGCAAATAGAAAGCTCAAAGCAGAGGGGGAAGAGTACACAGTGTTAAAGAAGAGAAAAGTGGACCCAAAAACAAAGAAAAACAAAACAGCGCATCTTTCTCTCTCAGCTTTCTCCCCTTTTGATGTGAAAAAAAAAAAACAAAAAAACTCTTCCCTCCTGCCCCCCCAATGCTTCCTCTTTATTTTGCAAACCCTAAAAAAGAAAAAAGTAGTTGAAATAAAACCATCTCTCTCATTCCTCTTCTCTCTCCCCCACAACAGAGACACACCAGTTCATGTTGAGCACTCATGTAGGCCCTAAATCAACACAAATAACAAATTTAAACATTACTCCTTTTCTTTTTTCTTTTTTTTTTTTGCCTTCCACAAAAGAATCCATAATAATAAATCTATGGATCATCATCATCCAACTGTTTTCCCTATAATCTGCTGTACACTTTCATTATTGAAACTTGTTCAAAAGTCTCCTCCCCCCCATTCTCTAACATCATGTTTCAATCTTCTTCTTCCATCTAGGGGGGATCATACATTTGCATATTTGCTCAGTTCCCTATACCTATCTTTTTCCAAATCTTCACATTCCTTGGTTACAACAAAAATTTTCAAATATTAAAATTGAACAAATATTTTTTTAACTCATAACCCCAATTTCCCACTTCCCCACCAAAATGTACAAGGTACTTACTCTATATGCAGTGGCTGTTGCACAAAATTCAGCCACCAGCAAAAACATCATCACACCGCAATCACCGCGTTCCCGGGCCGTCGCTGCCAGCAGCGCCGCCGTTCCAGTTTTGATGTCGTCATTCCTTGCAGCGAATGAAACAAGATTCACCAAAGAATCTTTTCGCTGACGATATATATACACTGAGAGGTTGAACCACTCAGTTTCTAGTGCCACATTCGTCACCGATCTACCATGAATATTCGCCCGATGAAATCTTGAAATCTCTTTGCGTAATGCTTTGGATCGACGGCGGATATTGATGTGGGATCAACTTGCAACGATTTATAAGCGTGCTCTAGCTTCTTGCTGATATCGTAGTCTTGCAAAATATCAATGATCCCAAAGTAGAGAACTACTTCGTATATTTCACCCGGAGTGCACTGATCAAAATCACTCTTACGAGCAACTCGCTCTGCTCTTGCAGGCATGTTTGCCCCCAATCTGATCAAAGGTTTCCTGATGATCTCACATAAATTCAAAATCAGAAGCCATAATAGGAATGTTTCAATGGCAAGGAAATGGAAATAAGCAAATTACATCATAAACTACTCATATGTTACAAGCAGAATCATGAGAAGTTTTCGCCCATAAAAAAATAAAATCACCCTTTTAGAACCTAAGCTTCATGTAGATAATGAGAACATACTCCCACAAAATGGAAAAACATCAACATCCCAATAAAGTCAAGAGGTTTCCAAAGAACTTTCCAGATTATGATTTTGAAGTTTCTGAGTATCTATGAACTGCCTAGATTGACTATTTCTAAAAGAAGAGGCCATTTACAAGAAGCATCAAGAAAGAGAAATGACAGACTCAAAGGAAGGTGGTTACCCCAATTGCTCAATCAAGGTTTGTTCTTATCCATGAAACCAATAATAAGACCAAGCCTCTAGATATGTCCCACATCCAACCGCTGAATGCATAACCAACACAAACTAAATTGCCAACTAGTTGAGCCACCAATTATTCCAACCACCATGCACAAGTTCAATGAAATAAGAATAATGAATGCACCTTGGGACTACTTAAATATCAGGATTTATTGGGTCAATCATGGCATGGTACCCAAGTTTCTCAAAGTGGAAACTTTTTTACTGTACATGCAAAAGGTCTAGAATCATAACGATTGCTAATGGAAGGGAAACCTATTGGAAGTTACAAGGGGCAAAAAAAACCCTATCCACCACATTTAGTAAATCTAACCCCTTGTTCAGCTAGAATTGCTGATGCAAAGACAGGTTAATGTTGAATGTAACTTACCGCCCGGAAAGGATGCGATCCATATCTTGTAGTTCTGCTTCAAGGAAGCGACAACCACGCATGAACTTCTCATTCTGATACGAATCATTATTTCCTGAAAAAACACACAAGATTTCAAATTCTCCTGTCCCAAAAACTGGTTTGAGATATAAATATTTTTGGTGCCACAATGATCTACCTGTCCGCAAGAGAAAAGGTGACAAACCAATCTTGTCACCAGTGTTGTCATCGCGGAAATGCATACCCACTAAAAGACTGTAATCCATGATTTTCTCAGCTTCCAAAAATTCACAATCTCTCTCAATTTGCCTGTAGATATTCATATCATTAGCAGCAACACTAATATAGTGTTATAAAACAAATTTACAAATCAGATAGGGAGCTCTACTGACGTTATCAGTTCCTGGTACCAATTCTCCTGCAACCGGAACACGTAGTTAAGGTCAAGATCTTTTAGAGTAGTCGTTTCATCAATCTCCCCCTCTGGCTTATCTGTGGAGCGACCATGAGATGATCCTTTAAGATCAAATCTTCTATGAATACGATAATCTGAGCAGAACAAATTGCCCATCACAATGAACCGAGTCTGATACACAAAACATTGCATAAAGTTAGACAGGAAACATCGCAGAGTTACACGTGACTGCTACAAGAACACAATACCAAACATGTCAATGGGAATTTGGAAAGTTCACCACCTACCTTCACGCCACCAACTGGTTTGACACAATGGACACCAAAGAACTTTGTCACAAGGGAATTCTCATAGCGGCAGACATGCTTGTAATAACTGGGAAGCATTTTAATCAGCACCTGACAAAGATTACCCGAAACTCAATCCCAGAATGCAGTTCACAATGTGATAACAATATATCCTCCATGTGTTGTCCAATTTAAACAAGCCTGCCTTGTTAGGTGAAAAATCAAGAGATAATCCGTCTTAATTAGTGCTAACTACAACAAAGGTCAATGAGACAAAAAACAAACCTTGACTTCAGATTTCTTCACTGTTTTAATCATGAATCTATCATCCTGGGTGAGATAAAAGAAGCTTCCACTTTTCCCAGGAGATGAAAGCTCTCTCAAAGCATCATTTCCACAAATGGCCAGCATGTAATCAGCAGGATCAACTTGGAAAAGCTGCCTCAAATGTCTGAAACAACCATAATACAATCATCACAGTCAGACCACATATGTTGTTCTCGTTCTCAAAGCTATAGAAAATAAGAGGGAGAGAGTACATGAAACCAATAACTCATGCCTCCAATGAAGCTGAACAACAGAAGAAAAAAATCATATTCAAATGAGGTATGAGGATAACAACCTAAACACCATCGGACAATAATCCTTCCATCGAAAATCAGTGGACTGATGGGGTGGTGTATTCTTTGACCCTTCAGGAGGAAACCTAGTCCAAAACTTTTCATTGGGGTCAAAATCACTCTGTTTAAGGTCTCTAATCTTTGAAGCATCCTTTCCAATGGAGTGTCTGCAACATCAACAAATGTAATCATCAGGAAATTTCAATAACACTTACAGCGAGCATAGAAGTGAAATCTGCACAAGGGAAAAAAAAACATCAGGAAATCACAGGAGCAACAATAACAAGAGAGACCTACCTAATACCCAATTGGAGATTAAGCATCAAATCATAATTCTTATGGCCTTTAGATATGGTCATCCCAGGCTTCTTCACTTCCCCACTAAAATAGACAGGATTCCTCCTGAACTGCTTAAGCGCATCTTTCTCAAAAACTAAGCCGTCTTTATAGATCATGGAGGCCTCCACGGTATCAATAATATCACAAGTAATATCCCCTGCTTCACCATCAGATTCCCAGATACAAATCCTGGGGAAATTCCTCTCAGTTACACTTCCTCTACCTCCATCCACAGAAGACCTCTTCTTCCCTGTCCCCATAGCTACAACCATCCCACCAAAATTTTCATCCATCATCAAGGGAGCAGACAACTTGGTGGTGAACAAATTCTTCCCTTCCATGGCATGGCAATTAAGATTATTATTATTAGAACTATGAGCAGGATAAAATGTACCATTCAAGACTTGATTCCCGTGGTTCTTCCCATCTTTAGTCCAACTACCAATGTAGCAGCTTCCGTCCGGCCAAGTGAAAACGCCATGACCTTTTGGCACTCCGTTTTCCCAATTTCCGTCATACCTATTTCCATTAGCCCAGACCAAAACACCTCTGCCATTGATAACCCCATTTTTCCACTCGCCGATGTATTCATTTCCGTTCCTCCAAACATATCTCCCTTGACCATCTTGTAGATTCCTCCTCCAATGCCCTTCATAATAATCGCCATTGCAGTAGTGCTTCACACCATAACCATGTTTTCGATCCGCTGACCAAGACCCTTTATACATATCCCCATCTGGACCAATAAAAGTCCCAATACCTTCCATTCTGCCGGACTTAAACTCACCTTCAAAAGTCGCCCCAGACGGCCATGAAAACTTACCTTTCCCAGATGCCTTCCCTCTCTTCCACTCACCTTCATACATACACCCATCCGTCCACAAATACTTCCCCGATCCGTGAGGAGAACTCCCGGAAAAAGACCCTATATACAGATCTCCGTTGGGGAGATGCTTCTCAATGTTTCCATCAGAATTCGCTGCGGTACTGGTGGTGGCAGCGTCAGCCGTGACAGCGTTCGTCGGAGTGACCCTCCTAGTCATCGCCTGAGATTTAGTCCGAGGGATAAGAATGACAGACTTCGCCGTCGTGGATTCAAAGACCTTATCTTCTTCAAACTCTTCCGTTTTCTTCTTCTTATTTGTGGTGGGTATTTCATCAACAGTCGTGGATTTAGTACAAAGTAAAGATTCAGGCATATTTCATTCAAAAAAAAAAGCACCTTAATCAAAATGGGTAGCGGATAAAATCGGCTGAAACTGAGCGGAAAAGCAAGAGAAGAGAGGAGAGAAGCTGGAGAACCCAGCTGAGAAAACAAGCATTTCCTTGTTGTTCCTCTCTCTCTCTCTCGGGCTGGGTATGATTTACTGTAGTTGTTCTTTCTCCCTTTAACTTTTTCTTTTCTTTTGGGTTTTTCTGCCTTCTTTATTGTGTATAGTTGTTGTTGTTGGAAGTTGTGTGGGGTGAGGAAGCCTAAGGGGAGAGAAGGATGGTGGTATTTTTGTATTGGAAAGGTGTGAGAGAGAGAGAGAGGAAGAAGAAGAAGAAGGTTGAGCTGCCTGCGCCTAATAAATGTGCAGTATTTTCTCCATTTCACTGTGTGACTGTGTGTAAGCTGTATCTATATTATTACCCTTTCTTCTTCTTCTTCTTCTTCTTTTGGGCTCGGTTTCCTGTACCCAAAAAAAAAAAAAAGGTTAAAAAGGGGGGCTTACTAGCTTGGAACTTCAAATTATTCGTCATTTTGATGATGTTATTAAAGATCAAGAATTATAACAAAGTTTGAGACAAACAATGCATGTCAATTCGAATTATCGGATCAAAATCAGGTTACGTATTTTGTAAAAAATTATAGTTTATATCCGACATTTGTGATCGAAAATATGAACCGCATTATTCTATCAGAATTTAAAGATTATTCAAGATTGATCGAATCTTATATCACATTTTTTTATATATATAAATGAAAGTAGATTATACAGTAATTGAAAGCAAAGAGAGAAAAAAAACTCGTACTTATTATAAGAAGAAGAATATGTCACTTACATTTAGGAAATTGGATTAGAAAATAACAACTTAAATTTGTGACACTTTTTGGATAAAAGGTTTAAGAAACAATAGAGGAGAGGGTAAATTTTTTTTATTTTTTGACTGTCTATAATATTTATTTTTTTTCTATTGGAGTATGATTTTTTTTTCCCCATTTGAAGAGATTGCCTATAGTAAAGCTTCCCGATATTTTCAAATTTTTATTTTAAATAACTGCATATAATGCTATTTGTGGTACGTACGCACTAATAAAGATATTTATATATTCACTTCCTATGATGATTTTTTTGTCTTTGGGTTTCATCAAGTTTTCTCATTGCTCTAGCCACTTTGTTTTAGGAGTAATGAATTTGAGCTATTTTTGCGATTATTTGTTTTTGGTTTTCTTTAATGAAATTTAAAAATCCTTATTACAATTTGCTTAATTAGTTTACACCCTAATATTGGCCATGATACACAACAATATCATCAAAATTTAAAACCATGAATTTTAATATTTTCTTTCGCAACACGTATATTTTTCGAATTTTCAAGATTTTTTTTTATTAATAACTTTCTTTGTCTAAATTTTTTTTTTCCCGAATCGGGGAGAAGAGAACACTATAGTGTGTGTATATATATATATATATATATATATATATATATTGGTTCCCTTCAAAAGAGCCATATTGGAATCTTGGGGGTGGGGGGAGGAAAAACTCGTGGTAACATTAACTGCTAATAACAAATGTGAATTCTGTATTTAGGGAGCTCATATAACAAATGTGAACAATTCAAACCGTGTGGGAAGCGAGCATGATGATGATGATGATGATATATATAACCCCATTGTAACATTAACTAATACTCCACGTCCTTTTTAATGGAATTTATAGTTACCTCCAAGATGCTCGTGACAACACCCCCTTTGCGAATGTGTATTAAACAATACGAGTATTAAATTGTATTTCCAATGTCAAATACATTGGACTCTAGAAAAGTCTTTCGAAAAAAACACCAAAATCATCACATCACATAATTAGCATCCAATCAAATACGTGAAACACCAAATTAATTTGGGGGCATCCGTGTATCCGAATGACAGCAACAACAACAATTGGATATTAGGATAACAAAGTAAGATTAGAGATAATTATTTCTTCTTGTAGTATAAATTTTCAACTTGATCATTACTGATGCACACATATAAATATGACTATACTAAATGCAGTACTAGTGTGATACAAAAAATTTAGTGTTGAATTTAATATATCGACTATCATTACTCACTCTCTTAACACCATTTAAAAAAAAAAATCATATTTCACAAATATAGATCTCGAATTCAGTACAACAGTTTTCATATAATAAATACTTATTTTTTTTTATCATAGTTTTATCGTAGACGTCAGATTTCTTTTGGGACAGAGAAGAATACACTATTTTGTTTCATGATGTAACGAATCAAACATGAATGAAGACGGAATCAAGAATGTGATGATGCGAGAAAAGAAAGGTTAGGAAGGAGTAAAAGAGCCGGCCATGGAATCAAGGAAATGTTGCAAGATGGCAGCATTTTATCTCTAATTCTGTCTAAGAGGCAGTAGTAAACAAGGAAGGAGAGACTTCCTTTTTGTGTTGTCTTTTTGGTCTTTGTGATGGTTTGCTTAACATTAAATTACACTCACACAAACTCCTAATTGAGACACAATCAATAATAGTGACAGTGGGGGGAGCAGCTTTTCTTTAGTACTACTAGTATTCATCAGCATTATACCCTTTCTGGACCAATGTACCCTTTGGTTGGTGACCTAATTACTCTTCTTTTTGTGGAATCATAGTAATGTCCACCATGTTTTTCATCGTGATGTGATGCAATCCGGAGGATAATCCTAGGTACTACACGTCAAATTTTTCTGATTTTATCTTCATTTTTTATGATTAATTAATAATTACAATTCTTTTTTACCCTATCAACGTGTATTTACCGTCATTGAGACCCTATTTTACGGTTAAGGATTGGCAGATCTATCGACTTGTAACAAGTTTCGTTTTATTTATTAATTAATAGGATCTGTTTAATCACAAATATTAAAATGATTTATTTTGACTCAATTATGAAAATTCAAAAAAAAAAAAAAAACCGCTCAATATAAATGCATACAATGTGTGCAAGAAAAATTCTAGTTACAGTTTACACTTCCCATAAAATTATCCAAACTTGGCGGTTTGCATTTTCTTTTTTCACTAAGAATGTCAGTTTGCATTTCACTAAGAGTATTACGAATTTAACACAGTCAGGAGAGTATTTTTGTTTTTTTTTTTTTTAGCTAAATCATCATCAAAACATAAATCTTAGGATGTCCAATTAATTATAGAGGTAAAATATATGTATAGAGAATCCAATTTTCATGGTAAATTATTACTCCCTCCATTCCAAAATATATGTCGTTGGAGTAGTTTCACAAAGTTTAAGAAGATAATAAATATTTGATTAAAATACTAAACCGCCTCATTTATTCTCAATACAATTCTATTTCCAATATCATTTAGTTTTAATACACTTCTACTTTAAATACGATTACAATTTCTCATGTAAGGGCAATGTTGGATGAAGTTAACAGAATATGACTAGATATGTGAAAACGACATCTATTTTAAAAAAAATTAGTTTTCCTCCAACGAGGGAGTATTTTGGAACGGAGGGAGTATTTTTTCAAAGTCATTTAGGCCCGATAAATTATACACGTTTGAATGATCCTCTTCCTTCAAGTGACTCGCTGGTGCTTTTAATTCGTGTTATTATGGATCAAAAATATTGTTCCAACTAGAAAGATAGGAGGCCCATATCAATTAAATGGATGGGCCAAGATGTAACTGCGTCTATATAGCTGTTTATTTTTTTTTTTGGGTCGAATATATAGCTGTTTCTTCAATTTTGTTCATCGCATTTTTTCAATTTTGGCTACTACTCCACAGTTCCACTTTACTTTTTTTTATTTTTTTTTATATTTTTTTTATTTAAGAAGAAGACAGTTCCACTTCAAAGCATTACTCAAATAGAAAAAAAAGGGGTAGAAATAAAAAATATTGACTGCTGAAGCCGGATCATACAAGGTTAAGATTCAAAGAGAAGGAAGCTGTTTCTCAAATGAGGGGGAAAAGAGAAAGGATAAAAGGTTTTCTTTGCTGTATTATATAGCAAAAATAAATAGTTCATCCAACCAAAAAACTGTACTATTGTGAAAAGTATATATATATATGACTCCATTAATTTCAAGACAAAAAGAATGAAAGAACTACTCCAGAGACCACCAAGTAATTTTACAATCACTTGGCTATATGACATTTTTATACCTAGCACTACCTGTAAAATAGATTCCATCCCACTATATTTGCTGCAAAAACTTTGCAGGATGGGTTACCTGGGTTGTTTAATTATGTACAACAAAAGTCTAACAAGTTGGAAAGGTGGCATGCCTGTAAATGATTTGACTACAAGAACCTTGATCCTTGCTATTGGGGGTTAGAATGGTGAGAATCAGCACCATCCGAACCTAGCTTTTGTAGCTTCGACAGCAAAGGGTCCTCATCGTCTTCATCATCTGCATAATCTCCCACGCCACACAGTAGACAAGGGTGTGTAGATCGTTGGGAGCACCAATGATCAGGGACACCAAGGAAATGGGTACCGATAAATTTCCTGAATCTCCTTCTATACTCGATAGGGGAGATAATAGTCGGCAGCTGGTTCTTAGGGACAACAAGAGATGATTTGACCCAAGTCTCGAGTTGCTTGTCCCAAGTATATTGCCTTAGATAGTCAATGATCCCACAAGAAAGTTCATGTCCTTGAGTATCCACTCCCAGTAGTAAAGAGTAATCCATCACATATATAGACTGCACGAGTAAACAAGTCAGTCAGAAGATGCATTTATCATCTACATCACTTTTGCTTATTTAACAGAAAATTGCAGTGTCAAACTAATGACCAGATGCAAAATAGTTTCATCTTGCTGGAGGATGATCAATCAGAAAACTCACTTTGAGAAAAGTTGTGTCATTCCACACAGCCCGTTGTAGACTTTGCTTTGATTTCTTATTCACATATAGAGGAGAAACATTGATGTCATTAAGAAAGTTTTGATCCAAAAGGACATCTCCTGGCCCATTGCTTGTTGAATTAAATCTAGCATGTAAAGCACCTTTTAGATCATATTGTCGATCAATATTCCGACCGAAAGAAAGGTTCTCCATCACCATTAGGTCATGTCTAATCTCTTTCCCATTTCTGGTTGCTCTTATGGTAACCTGCCAGAAAGTTGAAAGTCAAATACGGAGGAAACAAACCAACAGCATTTGTTATGTTTATGAACTCAAGAGATTCAAATGACCAACCTGATAAACACCCAGAATTTTGGCAAGGCAAGTTTGGTTCCCAACTTCATAGCAATTGTCCATATAATCAAAGTAGTTTGGAGCGAATTTCATGAATGCCTCAAACTCAGTCTTTTTAATCTCTTTTATAATGAATCGATCATCAATAGTTTTAGCAAAGAAAGATTTGCTCTTCCCTCCTTTGGCATCCCAGTTCTTGCAACGACTTAAAGAAGCAATATAATCCACTTCAGATTGACAGCATCGGTTCCGAAGTTGCCGAAATCGGCTGGAATATACGCATATAACAGAATATTTTCGTTTCCCAGGAACTTTTCCGATCCCCATAGATACTTCTGGATGAAGAGCTCCCATGGACACCACTGAATCCAATAGATCCAAACTATCAAAACTTGATGAGAGCGACTCCTCTGATGATATGCTAGCTGAGGAATGGATTCCGTCTGAGTCTGGATAACCACTGGAGGACCAGTGAGGAGAGTTGAGAGAAAAGATTCTTGGAAGGTTCTGTCCACTATCATTCGACATTATAACCGTTTTGTCTTTACTGGGATTTTCATTAAGATCTTGATTCACAGCCGGCAGATCCTTTAACAAAGCTAGACTGCAAGAAATTATGCTCGAAAGTTCGTCTTCATAGTCTGACACAATGTAGTCGTCTTCACCGAGAGGAATGTGGAGCTTTGAGCCCTCGTGAGCGATTAGTTTGTACGCTGCGGTTTCTGGAGCAAGGCTGGTGGTGGTGTCAAATTTTGGCAAATATCCTCCCCACAGACCGCTCATGTATGCTTGTCGAATTTCTGTAAATGAATTCCAGATCCAGCCTTTGTCATTCCTTTCGTTGAATGACAACCTATAATGTGATCTTCCACTCTGAAAACTTTTTGAATCAAGAAGAGAACTTTCAAATTCAGAAGAAATCGGTACCACTTTATCCGTTTGCGATGCAGCATATGAAGGGAAACTGGTTTCTATACTGCCATTAACAGATTGGTATTGACTGCTCACTGACGAATCCTGGGAAATTACCTTATTTCCACAAGCTGTCTCCACAGAAGATGTATTTACATCTTCAGTTACCAAATAAAATGGACCATCTTGTTCCTTGGCACTTTCATTCTGCCCATCGATGGGAATTTCTCTTTCACTATAGCTCTCGGCAGCAGATGTAAACAGCTTGACTTCATCAATAGGGATTTCTCTTTCAATATTGTTTTCTGCTTCAAATGTATCCAGCTTGCCTTTGTACCGATGACTGTCCAATGCATTTACAGAATCTTCTGCAGTTATGCCTGTTCCATCAGCTTTTTCCAGAATGTCAATGCCAGTTTCTCTAGTCACCCCATTTTCAAAGGTTTTGCTTCCAAGGACAGAAAGATCAGATGACAGCAGACAATTGAGGCGCTTATCCCAGATGGATGATTCCAGAAGTAGATCCAATCTTATTCTGTTTAACTTCAAATACTTGCACATAGCATTATCTTCATTGCCATCAACATTTTTAATTTCAACCTGATTTTGAAGAATGGGAAGTGAGAACAGCCTTCACCTCTAGCATAAAGCATAAACAAATGCATGAAGCCATATAGTTTCACAGTAGTAGATTGTTAGCGTAAGTTGATTGAGAGAGAGAGAGACGAAAGCACCCTCAGGTCCAAAAATCACACCCGTATCTTATCATCAAGAGGGAAATAAAGGTATTACCATATTATATTTTTCGAGAAACTATAAAGTTTACAGTTGAAGGGAATGAAACTTGAGCAATTTCACTGCAATTAATTGGGTTGGAACTTAGCTACCAAATATCCAGTGCGGCATAAAAGGATTAGAATTTCGAACACCATTTTATGGTTATTCGAAGAGTGCAAGATTACCCAGTTTGATTCTTGTTTTAATCTATGATTTCCCTGTCCCTTCGTTTTGAGTCTTTGTCTCCAGAGACTCCAATGCCATCAGTGCATATTTGAACAAAGTTTGACATATAATCCAGTCCGGCCTTATATCAAGGCTGTGACTTACCATAACTAAGGACTCCCACTGTCCCAAAAAATAATCAACATTGAGATTTGAGATTTGTACTATTTTTTTGAAAACTCAATGTGGACTATTTTCCTGTGACAGAGGTAGTATCACTTTTATTTTGACACCACACCATTCATCCTTCACACAAATTTAAATTAAATACTCCTTTGTCACCAAAAAGAATTGCAGTTTCAAAAATGTACACAAGTTATCTGTTGCATTTCCAACTAGTACCTTAATGAGTTAATTGTTAACCGCACATGACCATACTAACTAGGATACTTAAAGACAAAAACTTTGTGCATATTTACCAAATATGGACTATACGTGTGTTAGATAAGAGTATCAAAAAGATGTAAAACCACGACGAAGGAAATATTTTACTTATGATTTTAACTTTTGAAATAACCCCAAGTAGCCAAGTAGGTACGTGAGAGACCTTAGAAAGTACTTCTCTTCCTTTTTTTTTTTTTTAAAAAAATACAATTCAGTAGTATCAAAGTGTATACAATTATTCAAAAGAATTGAAGTAAACTAATGCAAGTTGAAGAATAGGCTGACCTCAAATTGCGATTTTTCAACCATCAACATTTTCTCTATTTCAGAGAATTCCTTGACCAATCCATGAAGGTTGATATGCATGCCCAGATATTTTGAGCCTATTTCCTGCAAACGTTTCTGAAACTCCAAGAACATCGATATTCCTTCACTATGCACCTACGGTTTTTAACGGAAGAAAAACAGCAGAAATCAGCACTACTTCCTGCAAAGCATGACATTGCCAGCAAAAATGAAGAATACTTACATTCTCCAACTCTTTCTTAAGGTGCTCGCCACTAATGAGATTACGAAACTCAAGCTTCCGAGGTGGAAGTGAAACTGAGTAAGTATCAAATTTTGAGTATTTAAACATCCCAACCATAGGACCCAATCTGCAGGTTGACCAAAGATGGCTTGTTATTTCCTCTCAACATTTTATACAGTCAAGTCATGATAATGATAGACCCCACCAAGTGGATCCAGAAAGTTAGCATTTGATTCATAAGAGGTATGTTATACATAAACAGCACATATGCATAAATCCCATGGAATGGCAAAACACAGAGAAACATGCCCATGTTAATTATCATAATAGCCAAGAGTATTGTAAACTGATTTTTGCGTTCACCTCTCCATCCTACCTAGCCAAGACTAAAATATATAAACTATTACATAATGCTTCTTATGTGACTCAAAAATTAATGTTTCTTTTGCTCCCTTTTGCACTTGATATTATGTTACTTCTCCATTCAAAATCTATTTATTTGATCTAAGAAAACATTCTAGATAGCAAGTAGATTGGTGATCATACCCAAAGAAGTAGAGGTAATCCCTGTGTAACGAATGACCACACGAGGACTTTCTTCTAAAATAGGGGTTTGCAAAACTCAGCTCCAGAAACTTGCCAAATGATAAACCCCGAGCATCAGTAGATATCAAAACTCTTTTTGTGGATTTTGATCTTCCATTTTCGGATATGCATTGTCCACAGCGACTCCACATCCATAGTTTCCCATCATTCTCACCAGGTAAAATCTTATCATTAGGAAGACACCTTACTTGGATTTTTAGTTGCTTACTATGATGCACATAGTAGTAAAAATGAGCTTCGGGCAACTCATTACATGTCTTACAGTGCAAACTCTGCATAAGCGAACAGTTTCTGTTAAACACAGGAAACAAACTCCCCTGTACACAGTGGAAACAATCAACAGTTTTACAACACCATCCAACATCCAAAATCAGATAGAACTTAGAAGGGATGGATTTAACAAATGTAACAAACTTCCCAGCAACAAGGCAAACAAATTACAAAATAGAATGCAAAAACTTTAACTAGTTAATATGAAACCAGTCTCTTGCATGCTAAGCTCCACTTTGGGAGATAGAAAAACACACCAAAAAAAAGAACAAAACCATATAGCTAAACAAAATAAGCACAAGTTTTCTAGACAGAGGAGGGAAGAAAAGAATATCTGAAACCTGATTGAGTAAATTCTCATGCAAGAACTTCCCAAGAGGAACGTCAAAATTCCTGTAAAACTTGATATGGGAAAAATGACTCTGCTCACACATGGTTCCTTTTTTTGCATTCTGAGTTGACTTTGAAACCAATATACTCTCAGAATCCAATACTGCTTTTATGTCATCCTTTACAGGCTTTGAGTCATCATAATTTTCACTGGTACTTTGCGCTGCAAGAGGCTTTTTGGAGTGCGGCTTTATATCACCTTCGTTGTCTTCATCAACAGATCCCCTTTTTTCAGAACCACAATGATCAACTAACTCAGTTGAAATAGAAACCTGCAAATCACCTTGATCCCCATCATTCGACTTTCCTTCATCAAAAGCAAAGTACGTAGACACGGCCTGATTGGACACTATTACTTTTTCTAGAGAATCTGACAATGGTAGAAGTCCAGAAAGAATGACAGGGTTTGAATTTTTAGAGAATGACATATTAGCATCCTGGCTTGGGTTTAAATAGTCAGCACCATCAGAATTAGCAAAATCTAGAGTGTTTGATGGCGTAGACTCAGTCCAGGTCTCACCATTGGCATCAGCACTCGATGGCACTTGATTGGACAGTTTAGGAACCTCAATAATACCAATGCTTGCGAACATCACCCTCGTATCTAGAAGGAAACAAGTCTCTAGCATAAAATGGTACGCCATTATAACAGCACAACGGACCACACATTTGATCCTCTTCAACTGATCACTGTCAGCTCCGACCAACAAAATCTGTTCAATAGAAGTCACGTCTATTAGCATAATGATATCTCAAAAAGCAAGAAAAGGTAATTGTCATTCATGAAAAGAAATCTTCTTCACTGAATTTCATTTCTAAAATAGAGGAGTAATGAGTTATGAACCTGTAGCTTTATGGTTTATTAGATGCATTATGTTTAAACAATCAAAAATGGATTATTCCACTTCCCAAAACCTTTCTATAATACAACCACAAGCGAGTTCTAAAGCTGGAATATTAGTATACTTATGAGTTTTTAAAATTTCATTACATGATTCCACCAAAGTTCCCTTTGGGACAAATCTTTCCTTGGGTCATCCGTTATCTACCAAAAACATCTGGCATTTCAGAACTGTGTTGAAAGTCTATAAAAAGTATTGCAACTTAACAATGCAAAACATGTGCAAAAACAGCAATAGAAAAATTGAAAGTAGGTGTAACACAAGGGAATAACTGCTATTTCTGATAAGTTCATTTCATTTTTTGAGCAATGAGCCAAGATTAACAGAGCATGCCTCACATGCAAATTTCTGTGAACAAAAAATATTAAGTATGACATAGATGCAGATTCTCACCGTGCATCCAAGACGTGTTGGGCATCCTTCTAGAAACATCAATGTTTTGCTAGGTTTCTTGGCAGTTTCACCAGAGACAGCAAGTTCTTCTACGAACTTCTCAAAATGAAAAGAATTGCACTGCCTAAGCTTTTGGCCAGTCAAACCATCTGAGGACCATATAAGTGAACCTGTGCAACGAGCAATTCTCTCCAGACGATGGAATTTCATATCAAGGACCAGCGTAATTCCTTTCCCCAGGATAGTCTCTTGTATGTCTCGAGAAACTGTTTTTTCCACCAATATGATATTCGGCTGATACATTTCTATCACATCAATGATGCTCTTCAAACTATCCTTCTCCTATTGGTGAAAGTAGGTTACGAAGGTTACAAAATACAAAAAAGCTTCAACAAATTTTCACACACATGAGCTCCATGTTACCTGATGCATCGATTCAAACGACGACAATCCGTTGGAGGAGAAACCAAGGGCTCCCTGGATCAACAACAACCGAGGCTTCTGGTATTTGGTAGGCATGTGTTTGTGAGCAGCATGCTTTTTGAAGACCAGGCCTTTGATGAATTTGCTATAAATAAAAATCATAATCAGTATGTAAGGTTTTAAACAGCCAACCTGGTCTATACAAGTTAACCATTGGAAAATCAAACAAGTAACAGCTGCATAAAACTCATTAATATTATGCAAAGGCATTTGCATAAGAAGTATTCAACTTCCATTCTAATAATATGTGGTCAGACTAAATCCCGTGGCAAGGTCCTGGCATATAGGAATGTAAAGTGTCTCCAACTTTTAGTTTGAAATTGTCCAAGGTAAAATCAAATTTTATAAAGCACTTGCAGGGTTGCGCCCTTGGTCATTCAAATTAGTCATATATAACTAATGGACTTCATTACAAAACCACACTTTTTATAAGAAAAGGAATGTGATGGAAAAAAACCACAAGGACAGAAAAAGGTCCCTCACCTGTGGCTGGGAGAACCAGAAGCAATACATTTGATCTTTACATATCCGTCAGGGTCCATTGCTTTACCATCTGCAGCATCAGGCTTCACAAACTTAGCAGCATCCCATGATAAAGAAGCCACTATGTCAACCCAGTCCTCGCCTTCTTTCCTTGATGAGACAACACCAACAGATTTAAGTAGCTGATCAACAAGAACCTTAAACTTGCCGTTTTTCACATCTTCCAACGCCCTTTGTTTTTCCTCCTTGAACTTATAAATCCCACTCCTATCATCTTCAAAACCACTCAAAGAAGATGGACTGCCCCAATTTATGCCATCACTGAACTCCTCATCATCATCGTCATCCTCGTTGAAGACACTATCCTTAGTGTCATCAACGGAATCTTCCGGTTCAGGGGGCATCCAAAACTCGGCACTCAGCTCTTGCTCAAATGGAAAGGCCGTAACTTCATCAGGGATCGATGATTCAACTCTTTCTATGCTATGAACTCCCTCTTCCTGCCCATGAAGCAGTCCGTTACCTTCGGCGTCTCTAATGGTTCCTTCACCGACTTCATTGAGATTACTTTGCACAAAAGCATAAGGTTGTTGATCACCATCACTTTTGTCCATTGAGCTTGCATTAGTGAAATGGTACTTTAAATTTAAAAGGGAATCTTGCTGGTCACTATGTGCACTGGATTCCTCTGGATAAATCCTGAAACGTGGCTATTTCAACATATATATTGCAGGGTTTCATAAAAGGAACTTCAAGGATGTGAGCAGAACCATACCTGACATCTGGATTTACATCCTCAGAAATATCACCTACAAGCATAATAAATCATCACACAGCCAAAGAATAAAGTATTGATAGGTCAGGGCATGTCTGATGGGTAAAGAAATCAATTGCGCAGATTATAGAACTTAAATACCACCTGCACTGCTTCTCAAGGAAGCAGCTGGACTGATGGACGGCATTAGAAAAGTATGTTAAATTCCCGGCTTCTCTGCATTTCATTATCCAGTAGTCCTGATGTACAACATTGAACACCACATGTGAGTTCTAAGCTGCGTTTCTCAGCATGACACTCAAATATGTGTGAGTATCATAAGAAAGCTCAACTTCAACAAGAACTTATCAACTAAAGCAGGAACATGAGTAATTGCCATTTATAAAAAGGACAGATACTCTTGGGAAACAACAACAGTACAAAATTACTATCGAACGAGATGTCCTCAACTTTGACATATCCACGGCCTCAAGAATAAAAACAAAGAAGCATAAACCCCTTGGCCTTTTTGAAGCCAATTAATTTAAAAATCCAGAGTTGCCCCTCTGATACTTCCATTAAAAATAGTTATCATAAGTATTAACTCCCGCATCCAGTGAAAAAACTAGTGAAGTAACCCTCCAAACTCTTAAAACCAACAGAATGAGCAAACACCAAACAGTAAATTCCAGAAGATAACCCAAATTAACCAAAAGAAAAAAAAAAATACAGTCTTGGAACGACTGTAACTGAACAGTCTACACCTAATTCAATCCGGGAAATCCCCAGAAACAGAGAGATCCAATAACAGAAGTAATCGAAAAATGCCGGACATCAGGATTCAGATTGATCATTTCCTTCGTTAAATCTGATCAATTTTTTTTTTCAAAAAATCCAACTCCAACAGAAAAAGAAATCAGAAAAATCTAACAAAAACAAGCCCTATAAATTGAAATATCCCACAAGTTGAGAGACACGAATTTTAATATTTGTCGAGTCAGCATTAAGTCAAAGTCCTAGCATCTACCAGGTATGGCAGAAGAGAGAACTCATTTCAGCAGAAACCCAGAATCAAGAAAGACTTAAAAACGCTGCCAACTTGCCAAAAACCCAGTTATTAAAAGAGAAACAAGACTTGAAGATAACAGACAGGGATTGAAAAAAATAAAAAAGAAAAAAGAAAGATTTTCCTAGTAACTTACTATTAAAGCAACCCAATCAGCACGCAAATGATGTCCACCAAATCAATCCCAGGGATAATCAGAGTTCAAAGGAATTATCTTTAACTTCCGCCACAAAACTTCCAGCCGTTTTATTGGGAAAAAAAAAAAAAAGAAGAAAGAATGAGCAGTAGAAAGAAAGAACTAGAGAAAAAAGAGGAGAAAATGAATTGAATGAATGAATACTGGGAAGGAAAGGAAGGGAGGGAGAGGAAACAATATGGTTGTGTCGGGTGTCCTGAAGTGGGTCCCACTAGGGGAGCCCTTTTGCTTAAAATTTTGGAATTTTTGATTGATTAAAGTCGGGCTCTCATTGGGCCATTTTTGAGATTAGAAATGTTGACATGGATTTTCACTATTTGGATGTTGAATTTTTTTTTTAATATAAATTTTGACACAAACCAAATTCAGTATTATTATTCAACTTAAGAATTTCTTCTTCCCCTAATTGAAGAAAAGCATTTTCCTCTTTTGTGTGTGTGTTTTTTAAGATCAATGAAGCGTTCTTTGCGTGCAAATATCATGTGCAGTAAAAATATGTTATTATGCATGTCCCGAAGTAATCATTTTATGTAAAATTTCGTTTTCAGTATAAATTATCTTACTAGAACGAAAGGACTAGCGAATGTATATTTTGTATATCTTAATTACATATAATTATAACATGTATATCTATAACGATGAGAGTTCTTTAGAGCTCAGAGTACTTGATGTCTACCACTTTAATTGCCATTCGAGATTATATACCACTTTAATTCTAATTTTTTTAGGCAAAAAAAAATCCTGCATAGAATTCAAATTATCATTAATTTCTCTTTGGCTGTAGTATCTATAGATTACATCTTTCCGTTGATATTATTATGCTTAGTTAGCTGAATATCGACGGAAAAAACGGATCATCTTTTAGAGTCATGAGTCTTTCCTTCAATATTGATAGTCAATCGTCTTCTGTAAACCGACAACTGTCAATATTAACAAAAATAGAAATGCACGTTACATTGTAAAAGTTGCACGATTTTTCGTTAATATTGATGTCAGTAAGTTAAAAGCATGTTACATTGTAAAATCTGCACGTCTTTTCATTAATATTGATGTCAGTTAAAAAAATGAAGAAGAAAAATTCTAGTTAAAGTAAACATGAAAAATTAATAGTTTACCATTTTAAACAAAAAAGAAATATAAATCTTAAAGAATCAGTTAAGATAAGTCGTTTTTCCTTGACTGCTTGTAATACATAGATTAGTTACGAGATACAATTTTTAAATGATTATTTTGTTTACTTTAATTATTATTGTTAATTTTTTGCTGAAAAAATATAAATAATTATTAAATTTCAAGGCAAAGATCAATACTTGCACTCTTTAACAGTGTAATTTTTAAATATTTTTTTATAACTTAGAGATTGAATGCAAAAGGTAAATCAATTCTGTAAATTTAATAATTATATTAGTATCAACATATACAAGATAGGAATTATAAGAAGAATTGTAAAAAGAAATTAAAAATTATTGTTTTAAAAATAAAAAATGACGAAATTGCCATTTGATCCAACTCACGTGTTTTGGATGTTAAAAATATCTTTCGGTATGATTTAACGGTCAAAACTCAAAAGTATTAGAATGATTTTAGATGAATTTATGGCGTAGTAAAGGGTCATATTTTACTAATAAATTTGATTGATGACCTGTGATGGAATTACTTATAGTTTGATGACATGTTTTGTTGCTTCACTTTTTTTTTCCCTCTCAATAATTTGACACAAAAATATTAAAATAAAATGAAATATGGATTTACCTTTAAAGCGAATTTAGAAGGTCCCAAAATTTTTCATTGACATACAAGTCTCCTTACAGACAGACAATCAAGTGAACTATAATTCCATTTTATTTGAATGGAATTATAAGGTGAGATAACATTATTTGCTATTTAGAATTTTTATGTTATGGTTAATTTTACACATGATATTCATGTTACTGTTATTATTTAATTAAGAGACAGAAAATGTAAAATACTCTTTCTGAGCTAGATGTGTGCACGTTTAGGACACCTCACACGTTTTTTTTTTTTCTCCTTTTCACGCAAAACTCTTGAAATATTAGAAAATTTCATGAAATTACCGCGCCAATATTGAAACTAATTTTGAGTTAACCTTTACATTCACATTTTACCACAACTATACCCTCTTAATTTGTCTTTGATTTACTTGATTTTTTTTTCCTCAAAACTTTCATTAACCACCACCCGAACTCAACAAGAGTGAAAAAAGTTCGACAATATTTTTTTCCCCGTAAATAAAATATTGGAACTTCTGCCAGTTGAACTACTTTTTTTTTTTTTAAAAAAAATTAGAATCCTTGTATATATTCTTGTCTAGCATTGGAAGTATATTCTTCAATCTCAAAATGATTATCTTCATATTAATTTAGTAAATTAAAAAACACAATTATTTTCATATGAAAGATTCTTAAAATATATCGAGAATATTCTCGGATCTTCTTACTTTCTGTTAGCACATTTGGGAAAAATTCTTAAAAGATATATTCGGTTTAACGAGGAATAAATTTTAATCACTTTGGTTCTATTTCTAAGTCACCAAAGCTATTAATTTTTTTGGTAAAAATCTCAGACCCAAAATAGAGCCAAAACTTTCTGTTCTATAAAGTATCATTCGACAAAAACGCCAGTCATCCAAATAGATTCCAGTAGCTTCAGAAAGAAAGGAGGATTACAGGGGCCGAGACGAAGGATGATTCGATTTTATCCCAAATGTTCTTTTGGCCTTTTCTTTTTCCTGATAATTTATCCAGTTGATTGTTCACTGAATGCTCTTTCATCAACTTCAACATTTTTAGGTTGCTCTTCTGATGATGATTCATCTTTCTCCGAAGAAGAAGCTTTCCTTGGACCAGGACCTGCGGAAACTTTAACCATAGCTGGCCTTAAAAGTCGGTCTTGGAGAGTAAAACCACGCCGGAATTCTTGAATTATAACGCCCTCATCAAACTCTTCAGACTCTTCTCGAGCAATAGCTTCATGTATCTGAATCATGAAAACAAGGCAACAAGTTAAACAACCAGAGAACACGATGTTCATCTTCACGTTTGCGATAATCCGACTAAGGCAAATTAGCTTCATGTATCAGAAACCAAGGCATCCCATATAGCTTAGAATCTCTTTTGTATTCATTGATAAAATGCAGATGGTTATCACACCATGTTGGTTATGAGGTCTGCTGTTAGACATGCAGACCAGGTATTGGTGAAAATGTACTATAAATGACTTCATGAAATTTTCCAAATTTACACCTGATGATATGGAAATTGCTTGTGTATCTAGTCTTCCTATCAATTCTTTCATTCCAAGGCTGCAACGAAATCATGAAATTCCAATAAGTTCAAGCAAGAAGATCAATTAATAATCTGCTTCCCCAGTAACGTATCCTATCTAATTTGTAATCCCAAATAGTTGTGACAGCATAAACAGAAACACTAGCTTTTTGGAATGGGTAGCAAAAAAGACAAATTTTTCCATAAGGACTTCTATCTCATTTAATGAACACAGAAAATAAATTCGAAACCTTCACAGGACCAGAAACTAAAATGGAAACCTTCACATCATACAAAATAGAAAAATATGAAAACAAGTGCTTTATCAATGAGAAATACAATACAAAGCTTCATATTATTCAAAACCAAGCGTCACACTATATGGAGAAAGGAAGAATATGATTTAATATGGAGCCGAGGGTGGGAGGGGAAATGGAAGACAATAAGGGGCAGGCTTTGCACTATTGAAAAAGGTACAAGAGATTGTTACCGTGAAGTAAGAGCAAAAAAGGATAGGAAGATGACAAGAGATAACGAGTAAAATGAACAACAAAGACCCTAAAATAGGCTGGACCAGCAGAGAGCCTCCCCTCAATAGTGCCATGTTAGGCGTGAGTTCTGATCCTTCACATAATAAAAAGCGGCCCAACCACAGAAAATTTCCAAAGCTAATCTTATTCTCATGTTTGACATAGCACTTAAAAAACTTGCCAGCAGAAAGAACCAAAATTTCCAAATTTCGCTTGTGTATCAAGATATACAAAAATGAAAGGCAACGAAATCGAGTTACAGGAAAGACGGAAAGAGAGATGAGAATCCACTAGTCGACCAATCTAGCAGCCATGCAACAACAATGGATTTTCAATTAACAGCAATCTGGGTTAAAATAAAGAGCTTGAGGATTGAAGCTGGAAGTCGAATTAGATATACTACTGAAAGTAACCATCAGCATCGAAAGATCCTCTCAAAGCAAACAAAATAATTCTCTGCTTGAGCACAAATCCAAACTGATGCAACATTTAGCAGGTTTATCTCTTGATGCCACATCATGATAACCTCTATGAGCCTTGAGTAGAAAACAAGGACATGGGTAAAAACATTCAAGGGTTAAGTCATTCAAAACGAAAAAAGTAGCTGTGTTGTTGCCTATTGTAAAGAATATGTTGGCGACTAATAATGTCCCTTCTTTCCTAGGCGATGTGCAGCTTTGAGTCTAAACCATCAAATAAAAATGAGAGAATCTCACATTATTAAATGATATTTATCGGTAAGATAAGTTCCATCAAAATGTAAATTCAATCTGACATATTCAATTTATCTGTGAAAGTTGAATCTTATGCCATCTTCAATAGAAACAAAATATTATGGACACGATATGAATTCTTATAGCCTACCCCACTTAGTTGTTAAAAGATTCTGAAGAAAGGAAGAAAGGAAGAATCAACGTTAAAGTGCCCTAGTAACTAAAAACTCAAGGGAATGAGGGGTTGAGCTTACCGAAGGATCAAACTGACTCCCAACAGTTGGTACAGCTGAGACTTTCAAGCTCTTCATTATTTCCACAAACTGCTTGTATATACCCTGATAACTAGCATCAATATTCTTTTCTTGTTCAGTCTCTAGTTTAAGATGCTGTTTGGCTCGCTCGAAATTATCAACCATCGGCAAAAGACTCTCAATCACTTCACCCTGAGCATCACTCCGTATATTTAGTTTCTCATTCTCCGACCTTTTCCGATAGTTGTCAAAATCAGCCTGTAAGCGTATGTATCTGTCCTTCAGAGAACTAATTTCATCTGACAAAGCGGAAACCTTTTCCAGCAACTCATTTTTTTCCTTTTCAGTCCCATATATGATAGCTTCAACATCAGAAATCGTCTTCACATCTCCATTTACAATAGCTTCCTTGTAAGCTGACAATGCCAACTGTAGATTGGAAGGACTAGATTCCTCTGTATCCTTGTCAGATGAGCCAAGCTCGTCTGCAGAACCCTCATCTTCCTCATTGCTCTGTCAAATACCAAATTGGACAAATTAATACCTAAAATGAAAAAATAAACACAAACCAAAGAGCAGCCAGACAATTTGGCTTTAGATGAATATATTTCAGAATAATTTTGCCTTCTAACATAATCCACTGAAACTACACTAGAAAAATACTCCACTAGGAATTCCTAGATAAATAAAGACTAGAGACAACTTCAAAATTGCTCCAGCTAACAAGAATTCCTAGATAAAGAAGGGCTGAAGACTATTTAATGAAAATTCATGCAAATGAACACAGAACATCAACTTGACAGCTTCTTTCAATGTCTTTATGCATTTGGAAATATTTGAAGGGCTCAACTCAACAAGCAACTTATCTTTCATTTCCTTTATGATCTATCTTTTTTGTTTTAGGCACCACCAGCACTACTTAAAGAAGCCATTGCATAACAGACCTAGAAAGATTCTACCTTATGACCACCTGAAAGTTGTGCAATAGGTAAAATAGATTCAGTGATCTAGTTCCAATTGGCCTTGCAGCTGTCATATTCAAAACAGCACTTGAAATTCAGGCAGCCACTACATTACAACAAGGTGACTAATTTACAACAAAAAGACAACTACACTGAAAAGGCAAAAGGAAAACAGGAAAAGAAAGAATAAATCATTGTTAACGAGCAATCTTCACTAAGTATATGTGGTCTAGATCCAATTTATCTTCTTAAAACTAATCAAGATATTGATAGTTTGAAGTAAATCATTCACCAGACTACATTATGTCATCTGCCTCCCATGACTTCCCAACTCATACAACCTAGATTAGATTCAGATATTCTAGCATTACTGTTAAGCTTCACCCTTCAATCCATTGGGCAGCACACCCATACATCATTAAATGAAAAAGAAACATTTAAAAAGGAGAACCCCTTTTATGCACTATTCAGTTCATCAAAATGTTCCACCACTTCTTTCATGCTCCAAAAGAGCAAGCAAAGTCATGAATCTCCTTAAGGCTAACTTGAACATTGACTGATGGACAACATCCTCTTACTAGTTAATTTCTCTGTAAGAAACAAGACAAACCAAGAAGCTAGTTGCACCAAAAGAAAATCTCAAATGAGTTCAACATATGATCCTAAAGAGAACACATGGTTACTCTAAGGATTTGGAAGTGCAAAGTACTAACATTTAAAAGATTCCCAAAAAGAAAGGATTCAGTTGTATAGTTCTTGCCATTTGTCTTGAGGTCACAGGTTCAAGTAACAACAATAGCCTCTTACAGACACATTAAGGTAATGCTACGTACATTAGCCCTTAGCTTCTATGCATATGGCTGACCAGTTTTGACTACGTAACTTCCCTTTTGGCTCTTGATAGATAGCTTTAAGATTAAAGGGAAGTAACTGATTTGAAGGCTTCAAACAGTTGAACAACAAATAGCCTCTATACACATACTTGTCCGCGAGATTGCAATAATATTTCACCCTTAGACAGGAAACGCATAGGCCACTGGCTTTGGTAACAAACACTACTCCCTTGGACAATCTAATTTTTATAATTCTCAACATTCATAGAAAAAATGATCTTCCAATTTCAAAATTCGGGACCTGGTGTTTCAGGTCTTTCTAAGGGACTTATTCAAACAACACTGTTACTATGGAATCATTTGATTTCTCGATGGTTGAAATTGGTTTCAACGGTATTGTCGATAATCCTAACAAATGTTAGAATATTCAATATTCATAGTCTGAGTCATTAATAAATTATAAATGCTATTAACAATCTAATATGTTTCATGAGTTATAAGATCTCATACATTGGCAACCAGCCAAGATATGCCCCAAACCTCAGCAAACAACTAGCATGAAACCTTAGAGTGTCTAGATAATTTTTTTCACCTTCAGTTAAAAAGGCCTAATTTGAAATGTTTTAAACACATATCAACCGGAAGATAAACTGTTCAATACAAACCCACAAAAGAATTGCCCTCATATCACAATTTGAATCAGCAAGAGAAAGAAGAAGTGTTTCTAAGCTCTTAATAATAAGCTCACTCACCATTTTACCCATTGCTAACCTAACCTTAGAGGTTCATATCAGCCGTGAACAACAATCTTCGATTGGTAGATTGTTCAAATAAGAGAGAGCCTTCTAAAACAGAAAATCCAATTGACATTCTATCAATGCTAGTAGTCAATCCCCAAAACTAAACAGCATACAAGCTCAAAATCAAGAAACTGCACAACAGCAAGTAAGAAAGTTTGGGCTACACTATGCACTTCTTCGAACTCCACAGACCTCAAGGTTCATTAATTTGGGCATCATATAAACTATTTATGTTTTTTCAGTTTTGCCTTTTCATCATTGCAAGCCACATAAGTCAAACTGAAGCTATGAGAAACTTGATGCTAATTAATGGTGTGAACGGTACCAACTTTGCCCCAACTCATGCTAATTAATAGTGTACAACAATGCAAGATACTTTAACAAACCTAATCTCAACCTCCCAGAGTACACTGTAAAATCAAGAACGTAAACAAACAGACAGACGAGAATCCAGAAATGCCTAAAAGGGAACCAGGAAATATCCAATTCTACACGAAAATGAATTCAACAATAAGCACAGGAACTAAAATACTCGATTATTGTCGTTACCAATTAAAAAAACCGAACAAATTCTATAACAATGAAATTGAAAGCTTAAGAGGAGAAACGAAAGTACATCGGAAGCAAAGTCCTGCGACGAAGCCTTCAGAGCAAAAGGGCGTCTCCTGCCATCCGTAATTATAACAGGAATCTTCGATTCCACAAGAGAAAATGAAAATCCTCTACTCGGAATCGCTCTGAGGGAATACTGAACCTGGAAGGATTTTGTAGTAAAAAATAAGCGTTGAGGAGTGTAGAGAGGACAAAAGGCTGAAGCAGCTGCTCCAGTTGCCGCCGCCGCCGCCGCCGCTGTAACCATGTTAGGCTAAATTACACAAGGTATTGAATGAAGAAGCAAAAAAGGAAGGGTTTTGACGGCGCCGGTGACCGGACGGAACGTCAGAATAGAAGAAGAGAAGTCCTCTCTAGAACAGGTGACCTGTCTGTTTGGTGAAGAAGGGATAAGCTGAATACAATTTTTATCTTTATATATAGGGGTAATACACAAGAACCCCCCTCGTGGTTTAGGAATACACACAAAAATCCCCCCATAGTTTAAAAAGCACATGATAACCTCCTTGTACTTTTCTAAAACGTGTGAAATGGATGGAAAAGCCAGAGCGTCAATAGATTTGACTATTTTATCCCTCTTCGTATAAGATGAACACAAGCAAGTTTCTTACCTTTGATCTCGTTTCCTCTCTTTTCTAATCTTTTACTCCCTCCTCAATCTTCATTCTCCAGTCTCCGTCCATGTAAACTACCAACAACCATTGACGGATCTAGCTACCTGTTTCGCCACCATCACATAAAATTTGGTCCGTTGCAACCATCCAAAAAATGTAACTGGCCCTATTATTTCTAATTTCTGTCCATCTAAATCAGTTGCTTGCAACATTCATGAATTTTTTTTTTCTTTTCAAATCTGGCTCGATTAATGGGTTTGAGTTCCACATCAAAGGCGCCATAGTACTTTGACGTTCAACGGCGACGCCGGTGGCTTAAAGATTTTGCTAAAACTTTTGGAGAATTTTTTTTGTAATCATTTCTTTCTCATTCTTTTTTTTTTTCATATTCGCAATATTTGTAGAAGAACTCGAACTGAGGTGATGCCAGATCTAACTTCTTGATTAATTCTTTCACATTTATCCAGTTTCAAGCTTCTACCTTTTTGTTTTTGATTTTTTTTACTAATTTTCTAGATATTTTTTTATTGATGATAGTTTGTATGCTAACCAATGGTTTGTGGGGGAATATAATTTTGTGAAATTCATGCGAATTTTCTTTATTGTTTATAGTAATAATAATAATATAATGATTCAAACAATGGAAAAATTACTAAAAGCTGAAATAGAGAAAAAAAAGAATAAATTAAGGGGTGTTTGTGGTATTAAAAAATTTGTCAACGGAAAAGAGAAAACCCACTGCCTATACGCGCGCGTGATGAACCATTTTCCGTTTGTATCACACTTTTCCATCCAAATTACACATTTTGGTAAACCACGAGGGAATTATCATGTGCTTTTTAAACCATGAGGAGGGCTCTCGTGTGCTTTCCTAAATCACGAGGGAGTTCTTGTGTATTACCCCTTATATATACTAGGCAGGTGGTAGACCGCACAAGGTGCGGTCGTTTGAGAGTAATAGCTCGTACTAATTTTGTTGTAAACATAAAAAGATTAATGAAGTAAAAAAAATATTATAATATATTAATATATATTAGGGTATTTTTGTAGTACAAATATTTATGTAGTGTTTTAATGGGAAATTCGGGCCAGGTGATGAGAGAGAAACTACATACGTGAAGGCACTAAATTACTGATGATGATCTTTAGATTTCTGCTATGGCAATCCAGACTCCTTACTGCTTTTACAAATGTTGACTCCAAGATTAAAGCCACGTGCATCATTTGGGGTTGAAAGGAACGATTACATCCCAGAAATTTCTGCTTAAATTCAAGTAATATGCACGATAAGTTGCCGAAACTCACCGCTATTTCATGTGTTGATTTGTTGTTTCATAATGATAGAGTGCTTAAGTTAGTAAGCTTTGAATATGTTGATGGGATTCAGTCAAAGTACGCTGAATTGGCCAGTTGAGATGAATCCAAATAATGAGAAACCTGAAGTTGCAATTTGTTTTGGAACCAAAAGACACTGCAAGCTGCAAGTAGTGTAGCCGTATCATGAAGGAACTTGGTTTTATCACCTTGCACTGTCAAATTCAAAGATTTCCAAAAGTCAAGATCAGTAACAAAAATCTATAAGTACATGAACAAGAAGGAGGTAACAAACATACTCTAAGAATATGAAATGCATAAGCCATCATGGTTACAGTCTGCTTAAACTCACCTCTTTACCGGTAGTATTAGAGCTTTAAACTTCTCTTAATTAACCAGGCTGACAGACAGATTATTAGAGCACCAACCAAGTTTTGACTTGATCAAAATATGGCTCTATTGAGAAGTAAACAATCTGGACGTAAAGAAGAAAACAGTACCTAAGTTCAATCAGATCAAAGGAAAAAAATTGCAACTAAAAGAGGGGAATTCAGATCGTAAAAAACCTGTCAAAACTTCGTACCAAACAGACACCACAAAGGTGCACATTCGTAATTAAAAAAAAAGTGTAGGGTCTTGCGAGTAAGTGTATGAGAGGGGATGAAAACAAAAAAAAAAAGGAAATAACAAATAATGAAACCCGAAACAGGGCAGAATCCTATAAATGTTTAAAAATAAGCACAAAATTTGTTCATCAAAAGAATGATGCTGCAACCTTTGCTCCAACAAACAGAATTAAAGCTATACCCAAATGCATCAAAATCTCCAGAATTGAGTTGTACTCAAATGCATTAAAATGGCACAATACGCTAATGGCAAACAAAAACTAATCTTTAGTCACAATTTAAGAAAATAGTACAATTCGGACAATATTGCTTCAGCGCTTCAGAGCCTATTTAGACAATAACGAACTGAATTTATGTTTCATATATCTTCTTTAGGATCTCAGTTCAGAACTAAAAGTTAACATAATTTTAGAATAAATTTCAACAATGACGATTTCTGCTGACATGAATCAAACACTTACGATGACTCACTGTGCAGTGCTAAATGTCTACCATACGAAATTAAGGATTTCATTTCAAAGAATTAAAGCAGAAGTTGCGCCGCCAAACTAAAGAATTAGAAGCACTGTAAGCACAAGCACTATAAAAATTAGGTGAAGTTCCTTCACTTACTTTATTCAGTGATTGACGGAATTTGCTCACTCGTAAGGCCTCGAAAATTTGCCGGTCGTCAAATTAGCCGGACTGCCAATCTCAATAAGCGGTGGAGGTCACCGACGGAATTAGGGCGACTGTTCTTCACTTTTCGACCCAATTATAAAGTCTTCCAGCATCGGAACCGCTATTTTCATAAACATCCTCTGCCCGATTCCCATTGCAACCTAATCCGCCGCAACGATGAGAAATTATGCACTGGAGACGAAAAACAGCTCCGCCGAACAATGAGAAAAATCATTGCAGATCCCCATTATTCCAGCCGGGTCAGCTTCCGAACCCGAATTGGAAATCAAGCTTGGCTGTTTACCTCTTCTCTTTCCAGCATCCTGTGGCTGTGAATCTGCCTCTTCTTTGATGTGAGGAAAAAAAAACCTTCTTTTAGCCAGTGGGTTAAGGAGAGAGATTTGGAACAAAAAAGACAGTGAATTTGGGACGACTAAGTAGAAAGGTTGGGCACGAACCAGCGGAAGGAGAGAGATGGAAGGTGGCTGAACAAATATTTGGGCCATCACCGGTAACCGAAAGGAGGAAGAAAGATAAACTAAGGCGGAGAAAAGTAGGCAGTGGTCTCGACAAATTGTAGTTGGACAAGTGTACAAAATTGACGAGCAACGGTAGGTATACCGTGCCATATGAGCCTTTTATCTAGGTAGATACTGTAAAGATTATTAATAATAAATCCTAACTTAAATAAAAAGACAAACCAAAAAAAAAAAAAAACTATTAATTGCAGCTACGAACTACTATTTCTCTTTAACAATTCTCTGCAATTCTCTGCGATGGAGTCTTCCTCTCTGTCTTCTTGGGACTACATTAGCATCTTTTTCTTTCGTCCGATCCTGGCTGTATCTTTTTCTCTTTTGCTACTTGTATTTGGTGAGTACACTTTAAAATTTTCGGAAACAAATTATGATAATTCGTCATCATCTGGGTTTCTTGCAAGATTGGATTTTTTCCCCCCTTTCCTGATCTTCATAGCTTTTCGTATTTATGGTAGGATGGTTGCTGGCCTGGAAGCTTGTGCTGGTTCATGTCCCTTTGGTCCAAGAAATCTTCGGGATGCGTAAGAAACCCGTGAAGCCCAAACCCAATAATCGCCGGCGACTGACCCAGTTCTACAAGAACATTGATGCCCGGAATTCTGCTTCTTGATTGTAATTGGTTTTCGTTGTTAACATGTTATGGAACTTGTGTGACTTGAATTAGATTTCGAATTGATTTTCTCTGCATAGACATGATAGTTGATAGCAGGATGAAAAGGAATCTTCTTTGTAAATATTTTTAACCCAGGAGGAAGAGAGGTGAATTGGTCATTCTGGGTGATATTTAGATTGTTATTGAATTGAAATTTGGGGGAAGATGAAGTTTCACGATATGAAACGAGTGAAGAGTTCTAAGTACAGTACTTCTTGATAATCAGTTCTTATTGTTCACCCTCGGTATTAGTGAAAACGAACGGTGTTCTTTTTCTGCAAACTAGTTCTGAGTTACTGAAAGATGGTTCATTTAGAAACTTGGCCGGTATGATTATTCGAAGCAATTGCTGGGTTCTATCAAATTTGGGAACTTCCATTATTGAGAGAATCTGTTTCTAGGATTGTCCCACTATCTGGACTTGTGAGCTCGCTTGATCTACCTGTGATATTTTATTTACACCTTGCATTGCACCACTGTGTTTCATTTTGCGGCTGATTCAGAAGGGAATTGCTTTATATAGCAAGTGATTGTTGTCCTCGCCTTTAACTTATCATCTTCCAGATTCTTAATATAGTGGAAATCATGACGCTGTGAGTCGGTTCTGATTTATTCATTCTGGTACGCAAGTATTGGTTGTTTACAAAATTAATTCAGGAGAAGTTGAGACAACCTGAGGTGTTTCAGCAGTTTAACATTAAGCTAAGTGGAGTGCTGGAGTGATGGTCTAGAAAATTAAATATCCAAAAGTCATTGGTGGTTAGATAAAAGGTAATAAGCATTCAATGGATGCCTTAGTGGTGAGATTGATAAGGTTTTTAAAATGACTGAATAGAAGTAATTCTTTTTTATGACTTTCTAGTAGTGACAGTTGGAAATGGTTTGGATTCAGATAAGTTGTTAGATTTATGATTACATCTGTGGATATGTCTTCATTGATTAAAGAAAAAGAGAATTCTGTAAGATGCAGGTTGAATGAGTGTACTTGTAGAGATTATGTAGAATAATTAGGAGACCTTTTTGATATCCAAAGAGTGTCATATCATATCTGTAAGTGTGCCAAACTGAGTTCTTTATCCAATTTTCCCGTTTATGCTTGCATGAAATGAAGATACCATCCACGAGACAATGCCTTGAGATGGGAACTTTAACGTTGGACCTTACTTTAAAGGTGTTAAATAGTCTTGTTTTACAATATTGTGCAGGCTATCTGAAACAGGATTTTTGGTTTGTCAGATGACAAGACTTGAACTGGGAATGTCGGAAGTGTTTCCTTACCTTTGATCACCAACAATTAGTTGACATGTATAGCGAATTGCATATTGTTGTGTTTCTTTCTCCTGGTACTCTTGGTTGGACGCCAGATTCGCTTTGCGTTTTTCTTTGGCTCATCTTCTTCTGGATGGCTTTGATTCAATTGTGTAGTTGCCGACTTGCAAATATCCTCAAATAATATGTCATTTTAGGTGTGTGAGATGTCTTTTGTTATTGCTTGATGGATGAACTTTTCTATGTCTGCGCTTCTGCAATTATAATTTTATGTCTTTAACAGGATTGTGTGCGGAATTCTTTTAAGACTGGACGAGTTTGCCTTTTAAGTTTGTATTAAATATGAATAGCAAAAGTGCCTGTGGCTATCGCCGATCAATTCAGCAACTTGTTTTGTGATAGTTCCTGGCTGGCTGACAGACTGTTCCTATGGAATATTTAAGCAAATTTATTTTACATGTTTGAAAATTAGGTTAATCGTAAGTTTTTGTGTTGTCGATCTTCTAGCTTTTCAAATTCTTACCATACTTGAAACTGCTTTCCTACTCATCTTGTGTTACAGCTTCTATCCTCAAATGTTTTCAAATTTCTGGCTTTTTCCAGTGATAAATGTAGACACATTGTTTTTTTTCCTCATCTCAATGACTAGGTCAAATATTTTTGTATCTGAGATTTGTTTGTAGTATTGGACAGTATAAAATATTGATGTATAATATATATCTGGAAGTAGTCTGCTTCTTGCTTCTTAACTTTGAATATTTTTCATAAACACGTGTTCTGTGTTTTACGCTGCAGCTGAACTGTGTTCGTCTTGAACCATTTCTGCGTGGGTTCCCCAGTTGAATTTCACACAAGTTGAAGAAATATGTGAAATTGAGATGTTTGCTTTGTTTAGCTTGTCAACTGATTTCCTTCTCATGTGATGCTGTAGGCATTCTAGGGATGCTGCTTTGTAGTAGTTGTGTCTATTATTCAATCTTTTTGATGTGTACAAATACAGGTAAAACTGATGTCAATGAATGCAGGTCAAGGAGAGGATGAACAGATTACGTATGTGTCCCAGTTACCCACTCATTCATACACTGTCACAACCATAGTTCTTTTCTCTTAGGGAAGTCTTAGCCAGCTTGAGTTTTGTTCCAACTCAGCAGATTCAACTAGTTCACCTCAAAACAATCGCTTCAAGAATATTCATCAATGTATATCAGAATGTGTGAAACTATATGACCTTAATGTTGTATTGTTCAAGTTGATGAAAGTGCTTGAGTCTGAACCTCTCTGATCAAGCTATTGTGAGTAAATTTTTCAGTTCCATAGATCTTAGATTAGTGATTTGCCCCCAGTAGTCAGTCAATGGCCTTCAAAGATTTTTTTTTTTCGAAAATGGTACATGTATATTAATTAGAAATACCTAAACTATTACAAAGACATGTATTATATGCTAAATTACGCAATTCTCTAATCTCATTCCTACTAACTTTAATCAGTTGGCAGAATTCAAAAGTTGGGAATAAAACTAATAGTAATGAAACTATGTTCCGCATTCGGGACAAGTGTATTTCTCAAATTAGTCGTCAACACTTCACAATCAGTATACAGTTTAACACGTGTAATACTAAGTTTTGATGCTTCGCGGAGTGCCATAAGACATGTCATGGCTTGGCTTCCGTTTGGAAAGGAGAGAGTGCCTGCAATGAAATCGACTTTATTTGCATAAGCATACCCAGTGAAGAAGTAATCTTTCACCTACCAGCTGTCTTCCTAGTTCGCAGATGACAAGAACCATCAAAGTGAATTGATACATGTGTATCTACTCCCTTGAGTCAGGGTGAGAACCCCTCAATGGTCTTCAAAGATTGAAAGAACGCAAAACTGTGTTCGTAAGAGTTGATTTTTGTAGCCTTCTAAGATAGTGAAGAATTAGTAGTTTGTTGGCATAGTACTCCACAGTCTCTAGCAAAGTGCAAACGGCCTTCCTTAAACTCCACGACTGAAGCCCGGCATTCCTTCCGGCGCCTGTTTTATGCTGCAAACATACAGGAGTGACTCTGGCTGAAATCAGTGTCTTAAGTCCACTACTCCAAATGTAGGATTCATCATGTCTTTCCTAGCTATTGTTGCGAGCAATTACTACTTTCAAAGCATAAGCCAAGCAGGAAGCCAAGGACCTTAGTACCCAATTGTTGGACCAAAATCCCCCTCTGTAGCTATAAGTGTGATTCAGATACTGTTAACAATTTAATAATTTACAAACTACAAAGAACTTCTTCTATTAATTTAAAATTAATTTTCTTCAAAAGAAATTCACCTCATTTCCAATAGATTCAATAACTGTTAACGGAGCAAACAAAGATACTTCCTACAAATGTAAATTTATTTAATTTTTTACCAATACATAAATTTAAAAACAACAAAATAAAAAGAGATTAAAAACACTTTTTTTTTTTTTTGGAAATTGTAAGAATATTCATTCCAAATATATATATATATATATATTTCGGGTAATAGGAATTCGAAAATACAAATTAAAATTTCTCCTCCTCCTCCTTTCCACGACGTCATCAACCGGCGGCACCTCACCCTCACCTTTCAACTCCATTTTCCGGTAATCTTAACGGTCCATGATAGGCCATCACTACTGCTAGAACGGCAACGCTTCCTCTTCTCAAACGGAGCTTTGTGGAGGAGTTTCTTACTCCGTCAAGATTCTTTTTTTACTCCAAAGAACTCGGTAATTCTTCTGATCTTTCATCACCTTGGGCCTTAGTTCTTGTATTTGTATCCCAAGTTGTTGAATTGCTTGTTTAGAGCGTTTGCAGAAAACTCCTTCTCCAAACAAAATTAATTGGCTTGCTTGTTATGCATAGTTCGGGTGTTATACATAAAGCATATTACTTTTGGGACCGTACATTTCAGTGCTTTGATCCTAAATTAGGCACTTCTATTATGAGCTTATAATATCTAATGCCCGCGTATCATTTTTCGAATTATAATTAGTTGCTGATCCTGAAAGTTTAGCGACCAAGTAGCATACTAGCATTTACTTGGAGGCACTGCACAAAGTTTATGTGTTTTTACTTATGATGATTAAGCTTAAGGAAAGTTATATAAAGAAAAGTACAAGTATAAGACAAGATGCTTCAAAGTAGGTTCCTTTATGTGTATTTTTGGTTAACCATTTCGTGGTATGGCTAAAGTCTCTAAATGAAGAAGGAAATATAGCTCACCACCACATAGGAAATAAATTTAATATTGTTGTGAAGTAAAGCCTCGAGTAGGGTGGATCCTTCTGGCCAGTCTGGTAGTAGTATTAAAGGTTTTCTTTTCATTCCCTTAGGAATAATTTTCAGCATTTATTTGATGCAACATTAGGAACTGTGTCCTTTTTCTTCATTTTGAAAGAAGTAACACCATGACTGCTCTGCGTAGGTTTGAACTACTCTTAGTTGCCAATTTTGGAGATGAGATTAATCTCAGATTTTTTATTTAGATATATGGGGGACTGAGGAAGAACAAAAGTAGGATTTTCATTTTCTCAAAGGTGACAGCCGAAAGCTGACGATTATAACAAGTCAGGCTGTGAGAACTGAGAAGCTGGCTAGCAAAAGTAACTTGCATGTAGCTGTCGTATTTTGCCTTTACTCCTTAAAGCATGACTCGTCTAAAAACTAAATCCCGATGCCGGGTTGGTTCATGTAAAGGAACATTAGAAATTCCCGAGGAATTTAGTAGTTTTGGCTACCACCATCAGTTTCCGTGCAAAAGTCTTTTAAAGTCAATGACAATAGCAGATAACACATCCATAAACTGTCAGACAATGCAAACTAAAGCACGGAAACAGAAAATGAGATGCAAAAGTGAGTGTCTGGAAGTCCTGCCCTTGATGTTGTCTCTGGTTTTGTAGCTCTCTTTGCACCTGTTGAGGTATATTTCTGTGCTTTGGCCTTTGGTTCTGTGACTTATACTATCTGAGAAACTTGAAGGGAACTTACCATGTTCTGAAATTAGATAGTGAGGCTTAGCAATCTTTAGCTCTTGTGATTAAAAGCCCCCAAAACATTGAGTAAAAAATCGATGTGCATGTATCTCAACTCAGTTAATGTGTAGGCAACTATTTCTAGAACTTGGAAGCTTGCTACATAGTTAACAAATATCATGATAGTCAACAACTTTCATTTTTTTCTATTGAAACTTAGAAATTGTTAGATTAGTCTTATACCTGATCCATTTGAAATTGCGGCCAGTTAGAATGCCAACTGCAGAAAACCAAACATGATTCAATAAATAACTCAATGTCAGCTAATCATTTCTGTCATCAGGTATCATGTACCTTCAGAATGAGTCTGAAAAGTGATGGCAACAATAAGGACCTCTTTGAATGTCGTTCCATGGTCAATGAAGAAGAAGAAGAAGGGGAGAGGGTGGGGGCGTTTTTGAGAAGAGAAGTACCAGACTGGGATGACCCCGTGAAAGCAGTAGCTCGTTTTAAGGGGTTCAGTGGACAAAGGTCGGACTGGGAGGGCCGGTATCTGTTTTGGAGGGAACTTATCCTCAAAGTGGCTCAACATCTGGGGACCTTCATCATACGGCCTTCTCGCCTCAATGATGTCTGGTTCCGTAGGGAAGGAGCTTTGTCTCCATTGTGCCTCCCCCAAGTCCTCGTTAGTAAACCTTCTTCGATTTCTTAATCCTAATTTCTCTGTCCTCTTTGTTGAGTACTATGAATGTTCTTTTTCAGTTAGAAATGTACGAAGCTGGTGATATATTAAAGGAAGTTGATCTTACAAGGCCTGCAAGTGGGACCCTTTCCATGATTTTTAGAAAAGCAGTAAATGCCCTGAGTTTCTCTTCACTCTCATCATCAGCAACTCCTAAGTTTTTGTCTGACGATTATTACGTTCTCACTACGTTGTTGAAGGTATATACACTTTCTTACTCTCTATGGGACTTCTGTTGGAACAATATACCAGATAATGTAGTGAAAAGTTGTAGTACAAATAAATGTTGATATAATCATGATTCGGGTCTTAATTTAACTCCTTTCTCTTATCTTTTATTGACAAAAGGATAAAGCTCTTGAGGTTATCAAAATTCTTTCTGAGAGTCATTGGACTTCTTCTTGTGTGATCACCTTCAGAAAGTTCAAGGAAATCTGTGGAGGATCAAAGGAAGCGTCTGCAATCTTGAGTTACTTGTCAGGTTCTCAAAAGGCTAAATACTTAATCATTTCGAGGAATGATGCTATTGAGGTATTCTATTCTTTATTGTGTGAATTTAGGAAAACCCTTTCTAGGGAATTCAAACACATGGAAATCAAGCTTGAGTATCAAGTAGTAGGATTTTGAGTCATTGTGGTTGTACAAGCAGGGCATGTTTTCATTTTGTGCTGCTTAAGGGGCTCAGCATAAAAAAGGGAACCGATTATCATGATCAGTCTTGTAGTCCATAGCTAGTAATATTATGTGATGTTTCATTTGCAATGAATGGAGTGTGTAATAAGGATGTAGGGACCATCTTCGTTTTTTGATACCACGATTGCCAAATGGGGTGCCTCCGAACTATGGTATTCGACCTTGACTTCAGAGGATTTTCTTGATTTTTATGTTTTGGCTTATTGGTTTTCATAAAAGTGACATCAAGTTTTGGTTTAGGACGTGGTCTATGTATTACTGTTGCTGTTCATGATGAAAAATAATCAAGCGTTAAACTATATCTGGAATTAATAACTTTCAAGATAATCTGCTGATTACGTACCTTGCAAGGCTTATGAATTGTCGCTAAGTACCTCTACTAAAAAGTGTTGCTGGAACGTTCCCTTTTGTCCAAAGGGTGTAATAACTTTCAAGATAATCTGCTGATTATATACCTTGCAACGCTTATGAATTGTGCTTTGTACCTCTTCTAAAAAGTCTTGCTGGAACCTTCCCTTTTGTCCAAAGGGTGTTCCGAATAGGGTCTCTCATAGCAGAGGCCTTATCTGGCTAGCATAGCTGTTATCTTAAGGTTGCCGAACTTTTATCTGGCCCCAAAAGTATGAGTTTGTTATTAATGTTGCTATTATTTTGATGCATTGCTTCTTTGACCAGTTCTCTTTTGCACTCAAGTACACTTCGCTGCTCCTGAATCCCTGATGCTGATAGCTCATAACACAGAACTGTCACGAGAAAATTAAAATTTCTAGTTCTCCTTGCAGGGATTGAAAGTCTCTCTGTCTCCAGAAGCAGTTTCTGATATCACAAGTCTGGACTATGATGTTTTGCACTTAACATGGACAGCAGAGAATCTTGAACAGCAGCTTCATGTGATTGATCAACGTTGTCAAAAGTAAGTATGAAGAGTTGCTTGCTTACTATGATACATTTGTTGTGTCTTCCAATGTCAATGAATCAGTGATGATGTCATGTCTGACAGTAGAAAACATTTTCCGGTGCCTAATGCTGGGGTTCGTATTTGAAAATGGTTTAAGTTTAGTTAAAAGAATACCAAAAGTTGCACTCAGATTTGGAAATATTAATTTTGTAAAGATGTGTTTACGGGTTTAAAAATAACATTTTTAAAATTCATAGTTGGTCCTGGGTATTTGGATTTGATTATTTTATTTTATTTTTTGGATTTGGATTGCTGTTCTTGGCAATATCGTACCATTTGGTTCTTAAGTTTGTTGAAAGTTATTAGCTGCAATGACCGAATGAAAGTTAGTCCAATGGACATTAACGAAGTAGTGGCAGAAATGCTTCACTTGGACATGTTCAAGTTCACCTTGTCCTCCTCGGAGGAAACTAAATCTTTAGGCTAAGCATCAATTTTTGACTTGTGACTTAAGGTTTCCCATGGTCCTAACTTGGATTGAGACATTGAATTATAGATCATATGGATGGTACATCATATGCAGGTCCAGAGGTTCAGCCGTTGCTTGTCTACGGTCCGGAAACAGGAAACTTGCACTGAGGCATGCGAAGGAACTGAAGGTGGCCTATGAAAGCAGGGAAAAATGTACAATTCTTTTGAACCGTGTGGAGGAAGTCCTTAGAGTTATTGGTGATATTGAGTCTTCGAGAAAGGTTGGTTATCAATTGTTAAATTTTTGGATGATTTTGACTAAGTTCTCCTAATATGAATGAGGGCAACCATGTCCCTAATGATATAATACATTAAATGGTGAACAACATTCCATGGATATGCTTAGTATCTAGTCCTGATGTTTTTCATGGGTGCAGGTGACTGAAGCCATTAAACTTGGTGCTAAAGCAATGAGAGATAATGGGATGAGTATTGAAGAAGTTGAGCTCTCTCTTGAGGATCTTAAGACGAGCGTTGAATCACTGAGAGAAGTGGAAGAAGTTTTAGGTATTTCCTCTGTTTCCACGTGTGTTGAATGAGTAGCACGTTACTAATCAAGTTAGAACTGCCAGTGAATGCCGTTTGTTTATCTTATTATCTCAGGAGCAGCTCCAGCAGGTGCAGAGATTGAGGATGAAGATATTGAGGATGAGCTAAAGATGTTAGAGATGGATATTGGGGGTGGCTCCACTCAGGAGCCAAATGCTGATACTGATGTTGGTGAGACTGTTGCACTGTCAAATTCTGCTGGAGCCCCAGAAGCTTCAGAGACAGTTGATACACTCTCTGATTCTATATCGAAGCTTAGCATTAAGAGTAGAAGAGCTACTGAAGCCGTGTAAATATGTTGTTAATTTCTGGGCAATCCCTGCTGTTTTTTGTTTTAGAATTGCCCAGTTTAGAGTTGGAATTGCTACATCTTAATGTTTGGTCAGGCAGTAAATTCTAATCTCTGAATGAAAACCTTTCTACTGGGGAATTACCGCAGTTGACATTCTATGGTGATCACTAAGATAAGCCACTTCGGAAAACAATCAATATATATCGTACAAAATAGGAGAACTCAATCCAAATCATATTCAAGTGTTTTTCTTCTGCTAATACTAATAACATCAACAATGGTGGTAATGGTCATGGTGGAAGAAAACCATCTTTTACAAAAATTGGAGGGAAGAGCAATATAATTTGGCAAAGTAGGCAACATGATATGACAAAATGAAGTCACTAAAAAGAAATCCCATCCCATGAACTAGAGTAGTAGTTGTTTTAATAGATTTACAGACCTCTTGGTTTTACTTAACACCGCGGTTTACAAGCTTATGTACAATGACTCCACAATATATCTCAAATCAGAAACAGTTCACAAAGCTCATTTCTAGGAGCATATCAGATAGCAGAGGTCTTCCAATCTCGATTGTGAGACGCTGGTGAAAGGAAAAATTCTGAATTTGCCGTTACTGGAACAAGTCAAGGTCAATAGCTCCGCGCTCACCAAGGACTGCATCAAAACACGAACAAATAATATTAGATTCTTTCGAAGTAAAAAGCAGCATTCATTGGATGGAGAGACATGGCATGAAAGATGGTTCCTATGACCAAGAAAATCTCGTGTATGCTGTCAGAGTTTCTTTAGATTTCAATGTTGATCTTGTAGGTTCATATGCCTTCTGTAAATTTTGAAGACCAAATTTGTGAAAGGAGAATATACCTCGCAATGCATTTCTTTCACATTGCAGCTCCACCACTTTAATGGAAGACAATCAATATAGTGACACCAGCCGCAGTACTTGTACATATTTATACCACGAATGACTGCTACAGTTAGTCCTGCAAGTCTATACATCAAGAAGAAGCACCGTTAACCATAAAGCAAACCATTGAATGGATTACCATACTGTAAATTTTAGAGACTAGACCAACTCACAGAAGACTGAGGATAATCAGGAAAGCACTCCTGATAAGAGGCTTATCAAACTTTTGCTTCATTCTGACAGCAAATTTAACATTATACTCAAATAATCCTCCTTTACTTTGAGTTGCTTTCCCGATGAGAGGCTTGTGAAGAAGTACAAACCCAAGAAGAAAACCCGATAAGAACCCTCCAATGTTTGAAAAGTTGTTCACATATGGTGCTAACCCAAGGATAAAATTCATTGTCAGGATGAGCAGAAACATCAACAGAGCATTAAACTGCAACCAGGAAAAGACTTGAGCTTGTAAGCAGGATATTCAGAGGTAAACTAAGCGAAAGTTAAGGCCAACTGAGAGAACCTTTTGTGTGTAAACTTTCCAGTTCCAGATAAGACCAGATAGTGTTGTGCCAAGCAGTCCAAATAATGCTGAAGATGAAGTAACTGATGGCCTATGAGAGAGAAAAAGTGCAGCAACCAGACTACCAGTAATAGCTGATATCAAATAGATGATGCCAACCCTGCCTGCATACAGATTTGAATCAGGCTGAAGTAACGTTGTGAAAACTTCAAAAATGCTGGCTACCAACTGTGTAAGTGAATTCTTACATGGGCCAAACTCTTGTTCTAGCTTGATTCCAACAAAGACAAGGCTGAAAAGGTTGAGAATGAGGTGGAAAACCCCTGCATGGAGCCATGGGCTTGCAAAAAGACGCAAGAATTGATGGCGCTCCACTAAAAGAGTTTGTTTAAGAGCTCCCATACTGTCAAGTCTACTCCAAGAGAGATAAAATAGAGGAATCAGCTATTGGAGATCACCACGCGGGGGGTTACAGTGTCAAAGAAGAAAATTTCTCTTCTGTTTGACTAACAGATTCATACTCTAGTAGTTAAGTCTTAAAGTGAACAAATTAACTAAGGGATGCAACTAAGAAGTAAGTTTCCTTGACATGATTTACAATTGATGGAGTCTGTCTGAGGAAAACATGCTCAAAACCTGTGAATCTTGAACAAGGAACAATGGCATATGAAACTCTAAACTATTGCTTTACCTACAGAAGAAGTTGCCAGTAAAACATATTCATTCAAACTTCAATTATTTGTCAGGAAAAGAAAAAGAAAAGAAGTTCTGTATTTTGTGGCAACATTTTCTTGTGACCAGGCTCCAAATATTTTTCAAATTATAGCAAGAATAGTACGAGTAGTACACTAAAAAGTAAAAGGTAGAAAAGGAACACATATCTACAACAAGGCTTCAGATGAATTTACAAAAATATTTGTGCTTCTGAGATCATCTAACAAATCAATATTATCAACGACATAAGCAACAACTCTGTACCACTAATCATTCTTCTCAATCAAAGAAATGGAATTTAGTTGTACTTCTGAAATGGACACAGCTAACAAGGTGCAATCTAGGCCTCAAAATGCATTGGATTGTTACATCAAAGAACAGCACTAACAAATATATTTTTGAGTACTAAGTTGTACAAATCAAGATAGAACAAATATATATTTCCTATGCAATGAAGTTAATCAAACGACAGAAAACATTGGAGCTCTTATTGATATTGGGACCCAATTCACTTGCCAAGACATCTCTCATCCTTCCCAAAATATTTAAATTCTGTGAGCGCTAATATTGCCATTCACTTTAGTTGGATTAAAAAGGCATTGCTTGTACATAAATCACAGAAGTCTTTTATTTGATAAACATTAAGAAACTGAAGGAAGCCCCATTGAAAATTTGCAGTTGATATAATTATGGGAATGCAAACTGACAAGCTCTATGCTTATTGCATAAAATTGTTAGTTAACTTCTACCGAGTTCATCTGCATGTGTGGTGTTTGCTTACTTCTATCTACTTCTTTTACTTCTCATCATCCAAGCCATAAATGATACAAGTCAAATAGTGACCGAGTCTGAGGTTAAGCATGAGATTAACACTTCAATGCAAAGAGCCACAGCAACCTGTGATCTCCCCAACAACGGATAATAAGCTTTAATATAGTTTTTATTCAAAGTTACCAGCAAATTATGGGTTCAATGTTCGGAAACAAGCTCCATAGACAAGCAGAAGTTACAGTTCATGCCTATTTTGGGAGAATCCAACACTTACACAAGGACAAGGACACATCACTTTACAGCCTATACTCTGTTCCTACTCTAGTCCGATGCCTGGGATCATACTACCACATATAATTGTAACATAAGAAACAAAGGATTGTAGTCTCAATCTCAGAAAGAGCGGCCCAGTTTCTTTTCACAACAATTAATACGCCAACTGATGAGATTATTCCAGATAAACAGAAGAAAAAATCGATTGAAAATCGAAAGTGTAAGTTACAGAAAGACATGAAACTTCTCTTACTGCTTGAAATCCAATAACTAAAAAAATATCCGAAACTCAACCAAGCTCAAGTAGTTTGAGGATGTCACAGGCCACAGAGCCAGGGAAAAAACAATTGGGAAGCAACTCAACCGAAGATTCACTTAGCTCAATTAGGTTTACTCCCAAATCAACCAGAACGAAATCATTCCAATTCAAACTTAATTCACCAACAGCAGGACATAAATCAGAAGCACCGAGATCAAAATATCAACGAAAGATCCATCAATCGGAGGAAATAGACTTACGTAGAAGCGGACGGGCCAAGAAGAGGATTTTCAGAAAGAGGCTGGAAGGAAAACCTTCCGAGGTTTCTCAAGGCACATTGCCGGTGAGACTTGCGCCAGCAGTTGTTGACAGCCATGGTAGCAACAAACACCACCAAAAGAAGCATAACCACGAGCGAGATAACACAGGTATCCGACTTTCTTTGCCTAATACGCTTCGAGAGAGGAAAGGGGACTTTCTGCTCTTTCAGCAATTCTTCACCCATCCAGTCCAAAGACAATCGCGGTTGCTGAAATGGAACCGGAGGCCGAGGCAGCGGCGGTGGTAGAGGAGGAGGAGGCGGCGGCGGCGGCGATTGTAGGTTTGTGGCCGACGTCGTATTGGAATCGCTGGAAGAGGCGGTTGTTTCTGAATCCATTATTAGTGAAAAAAGCAAGTTTTGGGGGGTTTAGCTAAGAGAAAGAGATTAGGAACTTAAGGATCCATTTCAAGAAATTGAAGCTGGAAATCGCAGTCGTGTGAGTGGGTAGCTTTTTTTGTGCTTTCAATCAGTCTGAGAATTCTCTGTGTGACTGTGTGAGAGAGAAACAGAGGATGCGTGAGAGAGAGAGAGAGAGACGGTTAAAGGCTTTTGGCGGGAAAGGTTGTTCTTTCTTCTTCCCCCCGGTTTAATTCTGGAAACAGCTGGTAAACCAGTAAATTGCTTTTCTAGTCCTTTCATATATGATAATTGTGATTATTAGTCCCTTAAATTTAACTCTGGGATGACTTTACTTTTTTTGTGCTACGAAAAGAGTGGAAATGCCAACATGGGTATTATAAAGTTCTTTTTTTTTAAAAAAAAAAAAAAATTCCACCCCAGTGGACCCCACTTAAATGTGGGTAAAACCCCTTTTACAACCTCGGGTGGGATCGAACCCTGGTCTATTACCAGGAAAAACAACAATCTAACCATTAGGCTGTCATTCAATTCCCGGGTATTATAAAGTTCTTCAATCTTTATTTATTTATTTTTTTAAGCTTAATGTCAATTAATTTTCTTCTCGCAATAATAATAAATGGTTACTCGAAGAGAAATTATATACTTTTTTGGTTCTAAAAAAAAAGAACTAGTCCATTTTATTGAATTTATATATTAATTATTCCAAAGTAATTTTTTTGTTCTTTTCAGACGGAAAATACCGGAAGTATTAAGGAGTAGTCCCTCTGTCCCAAAATTATTGTTCAGTTTGATATTTCACTTTTAGTACACTTTGAACTAAAAATGAAAACCTAAACTGGACAATAATTATAGGACGGAAGGAGTATATTTTAAAAAGAAGAATAAACACTAGAAAGTTTGAAGGTTGAGTTCAAGACCTAGTTAATTTCGGGCACAACTTATTTGTTTTTTTTTTTTTTTTAATTGCTGATAAAATTTGCACAAAGTTTACTATAATCAATTGGAGGAAATGGTACTACATTCGACACGTTAATAGGGTTAGAATGATCACCCTTCTTTCTTTTCTTTATCCTTTCTGGTCAATTACAACCAACAAAATTAACCACATTTCTTGATAGTGCCATCTTCAAGAAAATATCAAAGCCAATTTGGTCACTTGATTTACTTTGAGATTGTTTGCCAATGATATAGATAGCAACGTGTATCAGATCATCAGTGTTTTGCTTAATTGCTTTGAGAGTTTGAGAATGACTGGAGGTAAACGTTGTTGATGAAAAAGACAAATTATGATGTGGACATCCTAGGTGATCAAGCTCAAGCACAAGTTGATGTTCAACCAAGCAATCAAGTTCAAGTTCAAAGAGTGATTCAAGATCCATTAGCTAATATTGGAGGTCCTATGACGAGGTCTCGAAGGAAGAGGATGAATGAATCGCTCAACAATTTGTTCATGGATGTTCAAGCTCTCAATGTGGATTCAATTCCATGGATTTCATGTTTATCTTGGAGTGGAGTTGAAGTTTTTAGTGCACGTCAAGCTCTTAGTCGAGGAGAAGAAGTTGACATCAAAGCCAACAGGATGGCGTCGAGCAAAGTATCGGTCGACAGCAAAGTCGACAGAGCTACGTCGATTAGAGTGTTGGTCGACAGAGAGGTCGACGTGCGGCGGGCAGAATTTTCTACTCTCCTATTTTGAGTAGGAAAGGGACCGACCCTCCATGCCCTCTAGAAGGTTCTAGATGGTTTTAAATAATTGTGACATGTGCAATTATTTATTTAATTATTATTTAAGTCTATATTAGGAAACTTAGGTAGACAAATCCGATTTGAACTTGTATTCGGGTTTCTTTTTGTGCAAACCAACCTTTGCCTATATAAAGGGGCCCTTGGTAGACCAAAAACATATACTTTTGATGATTATTGATATTTCAATACGAGACGAGAGGAAACTCTTTGTTCTTTTACTATTCTTTTCGAAGATTAGTGCATTGCACAATTGTTTGTGCTTTGTTGACGCGTGCGCGTGATTTTAAGTGTTCTTCACGTGTGAAGCTTTGTTAGTTTGTTCATTGGAGCTTTTTCTCTAGCCGTTCTATCCATAAATCGAAGGGATAGGGTTGTTAGAAAGGAACCGATTGGGTTGCTAACCAAAACACAATTTCTTCATCTTTCGAATCTTCCATTCTTTTTGGTGCAAATTTTTGTGGTTTGCATCCACCTTTTCTTCTCTTTTTCGAGTGATTTGGAGTGTTCTCCATTGTTTTTGCAAGTTATCAAGTCTTGGGAAATTCATAGCTTTCGTGTTTGAGGTAATTCAATCATCTCATCTCAAGATTCATATCAATTTGGCCTCCGAGCTTCGGTTCTTGATTTCTTGCATATGTTTTGATCTTCTAGGGCTCATCTTTGGTTGATCTCTGATTGTTCTTATTTTTTAGTCTTTTGTTATAGATCTCACTATTTGCTTCGAATTATTCTTGATTGAGTTTGTTGAAGTTGAGTAGTTTGATTTTTGGTGTGTTGGCGGCCCGTGTGTGTGTTATTGCTAGGTTTTTCGGATTTTAGGGTTTCCTTACCCTTAATCCACGAATTTTATTAGTTAAAAAGGAAAGAAAAAAAAAGAGAAAGTAGCCGAAAAGAAAAATAAAAAAGGTAACATATAAAAAGGAAAGTATCTTTTTTATAAAGGTATATTAAATCTTACCTTGTTAAGGAGATTTGATTGTGTGCATTCAAAAGGAAAGTATCTTATTTATTGAGGTATATCAAAGGTTACCTTATTAGAATTATTTGCACATATATTCGAAATTATTTGGAGTTTTTGGAGGCTAGGGTTTTCGAAAAACATAAACCCTAATTTGAAGTGTGGTGGCCGAGACTAGGGTTCTATCTTAACCCTAAATCGAAGTTTAAATTTTCAGAATTTGCTCCAAGTTCTACTAGCCCTTTTCGTGAGATCTAAGTTTTCATAGTTGTAACTACTCGATCTATATTCGTGTTCTTCCTTAGATCTTGTTCCAATTATTCATAACCATACTTTTTGGCCCTCTTAGTCAATTGCACAAACTAGCACTAATCTTCATTGCACTAAGGATTGAAGGACAAAGACCGTGGTAAGAAAAGAGTGAATCCATCCCTTACTAAATCTAAACTTTCTTGAGTGATCTTGGGGAGTGAATAGTATAGTTGGGAGGGGAAACAAGGAAGTGAGTTCTTCGATATTCTATTTTCTTGTGTGTGTTTTGTGTTCTTAGAATTGCAGAATCATGGGGGACAAGACTCAACATGGAATGTTGAATGATACGGTAAAAGATTTTAAAGATAAGATGGCGGAAATAACCAATCAACTGCAATTTTTGGCGATGGCGATAGCGCAACAACAAGAACAACAAGCTGAAACCACTCGCCAAATACAACAACTTGCCCAAGTTAGGGCTTCAGTGGTAACTAATGTTGCACCTAGGAATACCAATGAAGGAGTTCCAAGGGAACAACATGATGATGATGATGGTGGTGTTGAGAATGAAGAAGATTTTAGGCAAGAGCGTCGAAGGCAACCTAGATTTGATGATAACATGAACACTATCAAGCAAAAGATTCCGGAGTTTCTTGGCAAGCCTGATCCGAATGTTTATATTGATTGGAAGATCATATAAATCGAATTTTTAATCTCAATAATTATTCTGAGGGCAAGAAGTTGAATTTAGCTGTGCTCAAAAGAGATTATAAACTCTTGAATGGAAATATATTAAAAGGAGTATTTCCTCCTCAACAACCTTTTAAGATGGAAAACGATAATAATATTTTCAGTTTTTCTGCATTTTCAAAATTGTTTGAAGATGATACTTTAAATATAACTGTAAAACAAATAAATAAAATTATAGAACAAAATAATCATACAAGTATTTATTTGAAGATTTTGGGAGAACAAGTTATATCTATACAAGATAGGTTAGACAAACTAATAAACGCAATAGAAACAAGTGGGTCTACTAGTTCTACTAGTTCTACAAGTGCTAATAGTTCAATAATAGAGATTGTTGCTACTCCAACTCTTCAACCACCTCCTGAAATAAAAGATTTCAAATTAAAATCTTTATCAGAATTAGAAAAATTAATAGATACTAAATTCAAAGATTTAAAAACTAATACTTTAGAAGAAGAATTTTCAGAAAAACTAGAAGACACTAAGGATTATAAAACAATATTAGACGATCAGATTAATAAATTAAATAAGTATGCTGATAGGCCTACTCAAAGGTTATATTACTATAATAGGCCATCTCTTGCAGATATCTTACATGAAGAGCAGGAATATATATTGAATAATAGTTACAGTGGAAAATGTATTTATGAATGAAATATAGATGGTTATACCGAAAAACAAATATACAACATGGCTCATAGGATGTTGATGTATAGTACTATATGTAAAACAAATGGCAATAATGATGCAGGGATAGCAAAAATGATAGTTGCAGGATTTACTGGCCAACTAAAAGGTTGGTGGGACAATTATTTGTCTTTCCAAAATAAAGAAGAAATATATAAAACTGTTAAACAAGAAGGATCTCAAATAATTGAGAATGCAGTTTATACATTAATTATTACTATATTAGAGCATTTTACAGGAAGAATTTCTGATAATGCTGAGAATATTCGTACTTTATTACAGAATTTAAGATGTAAAACATTGTCTGATTTTAGATGGTATAAAGATGCTTTCTAAATAGAGTTATAGAATTGCATGATAGCAATAGTACTCACGGGAAATCTAAGTTTATAGATGGATTACCAGGCTTATTTGCTGAAAGAGTTAAAAAAGTTTTAAGAAAAGATAGGATTAATATTCCATATGAAAATTATACTTATGGCAGATTAATAGGAACTTGTATTCAAGAAGGTCTAGCTCTATGTAATGAAATAAAATTGAATCAACAGATTAAAAGACAAAGATTGACTGAAAGAGAACAATTAGGACAGTTTTGTAGTCAATTTGGGATGGAAGTTCCATCAGAAAGAAAATTGATAAAAAAATTTTTAAAAAATGATAAATATTATAAGAAAAAGAAGAGAAAATATCCTCAAGAAAAAATTAATAAAAAATTAATGAGAAAAATGAAAAGAAAGGAAGAAAAGAGAGATAGAGCTAATATAATTTGTTATAAATGTAAACAACCAGGTCATTTTACGAATAAATGTAAGATGAAAAAGAAAATTAATAGTCTAGAAATTGATAAAGGAATTAAGGAAGAATTAATTAATTTGTTAAGTTTAGGATCTGAAATAGAAAGTTCAGAAGAAGATGAAATAGATCAAATAAGTAATACATCAGAAAGCTCAGATACTGAGTGTTGTAGTCCTTGTGAAAAAACAGGTAGCTGTAGTATAAGGCAAATTGATGATGAAAATGAAGATTATTATAAAATCTTGTCTCAATTCAAGGAATCAGATATAAATGTCTTGTCTAATAATAGTATCATAGAATTTTTAAAATTAATCAAGGATAAGGATTTAAGATCCAAAATAATTGAGCAAGTTGATGATATGCCAACTAGTAGTCATAATCATAATAATGTAGGAGACAAGTTAGAAATAGGGAATAGTAACCCATATACCATGTCGAAAGTATATAAAATGCTAAAAGACAAAACTCATAAAATAGAGAAATCTCCTAATACTGTGAATGATTTAGGAGAAGAGATTAATAATCTTAAAGAAGAAATTAAAATTCTAAAGGAACTCAATAAGAGTTTAGATGATACAGTTTCTAACTTAGAAAATACAAAACAAACAGATTATGACAAGAACATGTTAATAACTAAAACAGGAAATGAAAACTTCTTAGGATCATTAGATTTAATAACTTCTTTTAAATTTCATATTATTATCAAATTATTGGTATATCATAATTACCAACTAGAATTAGTAGCATTAGTTGATAGTGGGGCTGATGTAAGTGTAATACAAGAAGGTATTATTCCTACTAAATATTTTGAAAAACCCACTCATGTAGTAAGACATGCTGGTGGAAAAACATTAGACATAAATTATAAATTGTCTAAATGATATATTTGTAATAATCAAGTTTGTATTCATGAAAGTTTTTTAATAGCTAAAAACTTAACTAGCCAAGTTATACTTGGAACTCCTTTTTTAAAAAGAATTTTCCCAATTACACATATAGATGTTGATAAAATTACAGGCACATATGATAAAAGATCTGTATCTTTTAAGTTTATAACTGAACCAAATACGAGATTTGTTAATGAACTCAAAGATCTTATTTTTAGGAAAAATAATCAAATTAATTTTCTAAAATTTGAAATTAATACATTTTCAATTGAAGAAGATTTAAAAGGTCATAAATTACAAGAAAAAATAAAAAGGGTATACAACAGTATTTCTACTGAGATTTGTAATGAACACCCAAATGCTTTTTGGAATAGAAAAAGACAAGTTGTTAGTCTTCCATATGAAGAAGATTTTGATGAAAAAACAATGATTAAGACAAAGGCAAGATCTTGTCAAATGAATTTTGAATACTTAGAACTATGTAAAAATGAAATGAACATGTTATTAGAAAAAAGTTTGATTAAAAAATCAAACTCTCCATGGTCATGTACAGGATTCTATTTTAATAAACATAGTGAGATAGAAAGAGGAAAGCCAAGATTGGTGATAAATTATAAACCTCTTAATAAAGTATTGAAATAGATTAGGCATCCAATTCCTAATAAAAAGAATTTATTAGATAGACTCTATGATTCATTGATATTTTCTAAATTTGATTTAAAATCTGGGTATTGGCAGATTCACATTGCTGAATCAGATCAATATAAAACTGGTTTTAATGTTCCAATTGGACACTTTGAATGGAAAGTTATGCCTTTTGGATTGAAAAATGCACCTTCTGAATTTCAAAAAATCATGAATGATATTTTTATTCCATATAGTGAATTTATTATTGTATATATTGATGATATCTTAGTATTTTCTAAAGATATTCAATCTCATTTTGAACATTTGAGTATATTTCAGAGATTAGGTAAACAAAATGGTTTTGTTATATCTCAATCAAAAATATCTTTATTTCAAACAAATGTAAGATTCTTAGGACATAATATTGAGAAAGGAAAAATTATTCCAATTGATAGAAGTATTTATTTTTCATCTAAATTCCCAAATGAGATTTTAGATAAAACTCAATTACAAAGGTTTTTAGGAAGTTTAAATTACATTTTACCTTATTATAAAAATTTAGCTTATGATACTGCTATTCTATATGACAGGTTAAAAATTAATCCAAAACCTTAGACAGAAGAACATACTAAAGCTATTCAGAAAATAAAAAATAAAGTAAAAATACTACCATGCTTAGTTTTAGCAAATCCTAAATGGGAAAAAATAGTAGAGACAGATGCCTCAGATATAAGATATGGTGGAATACTTAAATAAATTTTTCCTGATGATAAACAAGAAAAATTAGTAAGATATCATTCAGAGTAATTATGCTACAGTTGCAAAAGAAATTCTTGCAATAGTTAAATGTGTTTTAAAATTCCAAGATGATTTATATAATCAGAAATTTACTATTAAAACAGATTGTCAATCAACTAAATATATGTTTAATAAAGATTTTAAACATGATGTTTCTAAGCAAATGTATGCTAGATGGCAGGCTAATTTAGCTCCTTTCAATTTTGATATTGTATATAAAAAAGGAAAAGATAACAATCTCCCTAACTTTTTATCTCGTGAATTTTTACAGGATGATACCACGAGGAGGCCAGTATAGAGGCTGTGGAGGAAGAGGTAATACCTCTTATACCCAAGGAAGAGGCAATATCCTCTCACAAATTGGGAATAAAAAATTTATATCTGCAAATATTGCTGATTTAAGCAAAGATCCCTCATTATATGACAAATTTAATAAATTCATAGAAAAAGAAGGAGAATCATCCTCTACTGAAAATGAGATATATGCAGATACAGTAATGGTGGAAGATAATATTACTGCATATCATGCTAATAGTAATAAAGAAATTATATTTCTTATAGAAGAAAAGATCTTCAATGGGAAAAAGATCCATGGTTAATAATGACCAGATATCTGGATACAGCATCATATGCTGCTACATCATACAATCTCAGGTCATACTATGAAAGTATTCTAAAAGTTTCAAGTTCTTGTGAAATAACACATTTTTGCTCTAATAGAGGAAATAATGTTTATAATTTCAGTAAAATTGTTATCAAAAAGATTATATCAGCTGAGGAATGGAGATTATCTACTCTAAAAGAAAAGGAATTTATAATTCCTGATTCCAGAATAACTTTTAAATATAATTACTGGGACTATGTTGAAGCTTTTAAAAGGGTATTTTCATATGAAAATCCTAATAGGAAACATTCATGGTTTATTAAGATATGTGGGAATGTTTATCACAATCCCATGCCTAACTGGTTTACATTATGATTATGGTAACTTTAAATCAATATAAATAGAGATTAGTAACTTTTAATTTTCTACATCTTAAATCACCGGTTGTTTACACATCTGTTTTATGTTTCAAGTTATTTGCACATTTTTCTAATTCACGCGCTATATTTTTTTTATTGATTTCATTTTTGTACTACTTCTATTCGTTTTTTTTTTAAGTACTCACCTCTACAAGATCTGAGTCCCCATCTTGTTATATTTTTTTATACAATAAAGTAATAAATTTATTATACAGGCAAGAAACAATGATATTATCGTATTCCAATCTCTTGATATAAGTTAGTAACATTGAATACCTACAAAACTAACAAACTTTTATTCTAAACTCGTAATTATTCTACCCAACATTAGTGGTAACCTAGATAGATTCTGTTAAAAACCTTCTAATAGGTAATGGATACAAAGAAATGTACACATGCAATTTGATAATGTCAATAATGTGATAGTACCAATAATATAACACAATTATATTCGTTTGATATTTAATATAGAACAATCAACTAAAAATAAAAACTTTTTGAAGAAAATCATTCACCAAGAAGAGAATATATCCAATTCTTTAGTATCATATGTGATATATTGATCAATTCTTTGTTTCTCTCATTTTTTGTAATGAGTTTAGATGGATATGATGACAAGCATGAATCCTTAGGCAGGAAGGGTGTTGTAAAACATTTGGTTAAGAAGAGAGCTTTGAAATGTTCCCGGGTTCAGATGAAGAAGTTTGGTTTAAAGAAGAGTAGGAAATCTCAAAGGTGCAGAAAGTTTAAAACTAAGAGACTGCATGGGACTGCAATTGCTGTTATGAAATTCACAGATGATCTGGATGAACCAGGAATTGTGCTAGTTGCCGACTCTAGAAGCACTTTTGAAGACCATGATGTGCATGATAATGAAGTTGATGTTCTTTGGTGTGATAATACGGTTAAAATTAAGAGACTGGGTTCTAGATATCCTTTGTACTTTGCAGCTGCGGGTGATTTTAGAGAAGGGAATGAGTTGTATGGGTTTTTATTATCATATCCAGAGGTAGACAATGCTCAAGGTGTGGCCCAACTTCTCAGTGAGTGGAGTTCGCTATTGTTGGAAGGTCTTCTAGAAGATTATCATTCCTTCTTTGAAGATCCTGTAAAAGACGAATACCTCGCGGATGATTGCATTGCGTGTGTTGGTGAATTTCTTCAAGAGAACATCTGTTATGCGGCTAGTCAAGATAATTGTACAGGTGGACGCTTTTCAGCACATACATTGGTCCTGCACCAGTTGATCGTCTGTTTGAGAGAGGGGCTATCAACCAAATTCCCTTGCTGAATGAAAGATATTATGGTTGGGATTTGCCTGATATAATTTCACACAATGATTGGCTGGATTATCTTCAGCTACATGGACTCCAGCTTCAGAGGCATCTGCACGTTAATGAAAATTAAACTTATTAATGTGAGGAAACAAAGATGCTAGGTTGAGTTTGGGCTGATTTAGATATCTACTTTGGTACTTTTGAAATGATTGTAGTGGAATTAGTTATATATTTACCAAATTTGGTACCCAAAAAAAAAAAAGAGTTTAGATGGAGATTTTTTTTTCTCTTTTCATTAGTTCTCTGTTTGAGAATGATTGTGAATTTTTCACTAACAACACCTACATGACCTAGCGCATTCAGGTGCGACACCATTCTTCTGTATTTTTTTCTCTTTTCATCAGTTCTCTGTTTGAGAATGATTGTGAATTTTTCACTAACAACACCTACATGACCTAGCGCATTCAGGTGCGACACCATTCTTCTGTATTTTTTTCTCTTTTCATTAGTTCTCTGTTTGAGAATGATTGTGAATTTTTCACTAACAACACCTACATGACCTAGCGCATTCAGGTGCGACACCATTCTTCTGTATTTCATTATTTGTAGGGAAAAAATTGCTATTTCAAATAATGGATGGGGGATGAATCCGACTTATAATAAAGTGGATGGATGGATGCCCATCATGCTAAATTAGTTCGAACTGTTTCTGATGGTCCTAATATTTAAAATGCCTTACTTGTAGAAAAGGTTTTTTTTTCATAAAGCAAAATGATTTTGAGTTCCATGATCAAGTTAATTAAGTCTAAAGTTTCAATTTTCACACATAAAAAAAAGCCAACTTATTAACAGGCCACCTTTAATCAAGTATAAAAAGCACAACATATTTAAATAAGTAAATTTTCAATTCTAATTTCTTTGCGGTTTAATTAAACCAAGAGACTCTTGACTAGATATCTTAATTTAGTTTACGGAACAACCATCTATGAAACTTGCATATTGGAAAACTTGCAACCAAAGTTAGTACTTCTCTCTTCCCTCATCATGTGAATAATTATTTCTTGCATTTTCCTAGCTTCTGCTCCTTCCTAGGACATAGGGATAGCGGGAGACAATATCTTCTAAGGTGGAAACTACAGAGCTAGCGTTGGGGCGTTTCTCGAATTCCTCACAGAGACAACTTTTGATTAGTTGAAGAACTTCCGATAAGCCATGACGTGGATACTGCATTCGTAGAGATGTGTCAATTAAACCCGCATGTTTCTTTTCATCCTCTAACATTGGTTTTACTTGGAAATATATACGTATGTATCAAGAATTTCATAAAACTACACAAGATGCGAATTAGAATATTTGGATATGTATGATGATCGATTTTTAATACGGATATAAACTAAGATCTTTGTCCCACTTAGGAAGCTAACTAAACTTGTTTCTAGTCATCAAATGACTCAACTATCAATCCTAATTCTAATTGGCAAACAAAATGCATTCACAGACTTTACTTACCCATGCAACCATAGATTTGCATTCACTTGCTTTTTTGGCCAGAAAGTATCTACAAAAGTACTACCCCGAATGAGTAAACATCGCATTTTGATATTAGTTTGCTAGTTTTCTCATAATCTGAATCACGATAGCCTTATGTGCCAACCACTCCCTTAGTCTCCCCGTAAGTTTCATCTCCCTTGGGTCATTCATGGGCAAAACCAAAATTACCAATTTTTTCTTCGTATTCATCTCCAAGAAAAATATTATCACACTTTAGATCGCAATGGATGATTTGAGGATCTAATCCATGTAAATATTTCAATGCTCGAGCTACTAGCTATTTTCAATGTACAATTCCAATTGAGTATGCCTCCTGAACTTGTACATTAAATCAAAGAATGTCGACAAAGGAGGTAACCAATTAGATAAATTTTAACCCTCGAACCACCTTCTTCCTAGCTCAGTCTTCTATTTTTTTTAGAGAAAATTTATATTTCATTTATTTTTGTTGATTTATTTATATGTTGTTTAAACTCTAACAAAATCTGATTTCCGTCATGGGATGCCCTAATCAATAGTTTGCAATTGTTCTCTGGAATGTTTGCGATTGTTCCATATTTGCAAACATACACACAACATCATTGATTGTTAATATTTTTTTATCATCGTTCGAAATTGTCAGTTGCTCAAAACCATTCATTAGAAAATCGACTCTTTATACATCTACTTAAAATTATCAAAATTAAATTAAAAAATTAATAAAAATAATAATCAATTGAAATTATACAAACAAAAAGACTAATCAAAAGACAAATTTTAGAAAACTATCAACATTGTGTCAATTGTTCCTCCATTTTTCTAAGTCCAAGATCAAGTTAATTGACACAAAGCATTTTTGTCTTTTAAATACCAACTGAAGTTCTATACACCATATACAACTTGTATACATTGTATATACCTTTAGTTCTACAAGAGGTTTCATGTCAATTCCAAAATTTGAGGAATCAATCAAGGTATAGACTTTATCTTTGTTTATATAGTTTTTACAGCGATGGGATCAGGTGCAACACAATGATATTAAGACGACCTTCCGGTTTATTATCATTGAATTATTTTCCTCATCTGTGCAAAGATAAGAAAATGTATAAAGAGTCATAGTTTACATGCCTAGCTACCAGTGAAAATAACCCTTAATGCTTGTTTGAATATGAATAAATATTCTCCGTTTTGTAGTTTTTTCCTTTATATTTGGAAACAAAGAAGGGGAGATTTAAGGCCTAAATAAATCGAGATCACAATATATACTGATAGGACATCATAACCCTTATTACATTATTAATAAGCTAATGATTCGTCCTTAGCACTTAATAGCCTTTTCAAGTTATATAGTGTTTACAGTAAATATTAATAATTAATTGCACGTATTAAGTTGCAAGTACTTAGATAAGGAAGATTTGAGCATGTTGAAGGCACTATTCAAATACATAACCTTGGTTAAATAGACATGGAACATCAGTTTTTATTAATGCACAATTGTTCCATCTGTTCATTCAAAGGAAATTCCTAAAACCATCAAGAAATTCCTCACCTTGGGAATCACCATTTTGATTATGTTCCTTTTGAAGTTATCGGAAAGTATGTCGTTCTTGTCACTTAAATATTATGGAGGTGGGAGGCTTTTTTATTATTTGAGGAAACTAGGAGTAGGATCTTTTATTTATTATCTATATTAATAAAACTATATAGTTGCTTTCTAAAATGATTATATATTGCATTTGATAGTACCACTAACATGTCAATTATTTCAAAACAAAGAGACTATTATTGGTTTTCTAACGAGAAAAGAATTGAAGCCCGTAAAATCTTTTAAAACCATATCACACTTAAACTAATCTAATAATTTTATCACTGTGAACACATACTAGGAACACATATTTGTTGCTCCAAATATCAAATTAGAGACAAATGGTTAGGTTTGTTTGTTTCTTTCTTTGGGCTTTAATCCATAGACAAAAAACAAGGCCATTAAGGATTAAAGTCCAAAACCAACCTATCCAAAACCATTTTTTGACTGTACAACATCTATAAATTAATATCATCATTAGATGGTAACCTCCCATAAACTCACACACAGAAAGAAGTTCCTTTATGGAATTCTCGCCATTCAGAGTAACTTATTAGCTGTGGCATTTTCAATCTTCACTTCGAGCCCATCAACCATTAACGTAGAAGCCTCAACAGCCATTCGTGCACTCTGAATATCGCAAAACTCAAAAATTGTAAGAAATTTAGAATCCTCCCTAATGGAGACCGCTTTCACTTCCCCAAACTGCTTGAACACTTCAGAAATATCCGACATGGCAACCTTGCTAGGAGGCAGGTTCTTTACCAAGATAATTTTTTATTGTTCTGCTGCCTTATCTATTGATGCTGCTGGCTTATCTACTGATACTTTAGACTCTCAAGACTCTCCATCAAGCTTGACAACGTAAAACTCGTCATGGGGAACTAGAACAAAGGTTTGTACAAACTTCCTGGTGGCGAAGGGACCATCTTTAGGCTTCATACTCCCAGATGCTGACACAATCACATGATCGCCCGAATTCAAACAGTGAAGTGTGTCCACCACAATCTCTGAGAATTTCTTTGATTGATTTAGTTTATGAATTAATAATCTATATTTCTGTGTTTCAAAAGTCAAGACCAATAAAAAAGAAAAATAATCAATAATAACATAATAATTTTCAGATTACCCCATTATAAATATTAGTCCGTTAATAACAATAATTAATAAGCCTCCACAGAGAGATTTTTGGTCCATCACCAGCGTACACAATAAAGAAGTTTCAGAAAGCACCTTTATCAAAAAAAAAAAAAAAAAAAATTTGTCTGGCACCTCCGATTTCTTTCCTAATGGTATCCAAGGAAATAGAGTGCTAAGTATGAAGTAGAGTTGTCAAGTTAAGATCATTTCAGCTACCAATGCAGCAAAAATGAAAGTATGATCAATGTGCACTCAAAAGGAACTCCAAAATACCTCAAGGCTCAAGCAACCACATTAACCTTGTTATAATGAGGAAAAGTTTCCAATCTAATGTGTTGATGATGATGATGGTAGCAGTGTTTCCTTCATCTAGAGCTAGAGCTAAAAATCCTTCAGTCAGGATCTTTTGACAAAAGTTCGACAAGATTTTCCAGAATTGATCACATTAAAGGCACACTCTATTATAGAATAAAAAACCGTTGCACCTCTCAACCAATTCGGGAAACATGTTCCATGAACTCCCAACATATAGAATTGGTACAAGTACACTGTACACCAAATGGTGCATCAGTAATGTTATACACCTATATATTTTCCAACTTATAGATTCCACATACAACTCAAATTCAATGACAATAACAATCCAAGGGAAACAACAAACAACTGCAAATCCTTTCTAGAAGTAGCTCCTCCTTTGAAACTTGATTTTGCCTCTGCTCATAATCTAAGAGTTTTTCTAAATTCAATGAAAATATAAAA